GACAGGTAAAAACTCTAAAAGTAATTGTGATGACAAGGTATGTGGTCATGGAGGTGGAAAAGGTTAAAATTTCAAAGTTCAAACTAATAATAATTCTAGATAGAACTTAAAATTTGCAATGAACAAAAAAGTTGATCAAGACAGACAGAAAAAGTGGTAGATTTCTATATATCTGTATATATACACTATATACTGATAGATAATCAATGTTAATAGAAATAAAAAAAAATAATATATAAAAATATTTATCATTAAATCACAAGTAATTTCTTATGCCATGTATGCGTTGAGGAACCTTTCAACATTCTGTCTACAAACCGGACATTTCATTGGTCGAGGTAATGCTTGAACACAGTCAATACACACACATATATGTCCACAATTTAACAAAATTACTTCCCTTGGATTTGTTAGACAAATAACACACTCTGAGTCTGAATTATTAGATGATTCACGATTATTTGCAGCAGCTCTTGCTGCCATTCTTGCATTCTGAGCCTCCTGGGCCATTCTTTCGATTTGTTTTCTACTCTGCCATTGTTTGTACCATTTTTTTAAAATGTATGTGGCCAGGCCAACACCTATAACACATGTAATACCAAGCAAAATTTTAATTATTTTTGATTGTGACGAGAAATGTTTAACGACTTCTTCTTTGGTTTGTGTAGTTAGTATGAATCGAGACCCATTCTCTGGAGGTGACATGATTATCTTATCGTTTTCCAGCTTTAACTGCCCAATGCCCAGCAATGGAGTTCCTAAAACCAGCATTTTCTCATATTCATGCATGCCTTTGATGACCTCACCAAAAATTCTATCCATTCCACGCTGAAGCAGACCAGATTGGTCTGACTTATAACTGTCATAGGTGACAGTTAGGTCATCCAATAGAAAACCTGCACTTTTTGGTTCAGTGACATGAACCCTGCAATCATTTGTACCATCTTTTTTAACTTTGTGCAAATAAAATGGCACTGCATCTACAACATCACGGATAACATTTTGGACATCAGACCTGAAATTAAAAAAAAAGTAAATTTAGATAACATAATAATATATCAATAACATCATATATAATATATATGCCGGTAGACATCAATCCATTCACAAAGATTTATACAGTGGGCTTTTTTCTGCTCTTTGGTCGACTTGTTGTCTCTTTGACACATTCCCCATTTCCATTTTCAAATTTACTCGAAAAAATAAGTAAAGAACCACTTCCATTTGATTGATTGATTGATTGTTGGTGTTTAATCCCACTTTCAACCCTCTTGGTAATATCCTGCCAGCCAGTTTTTGTATGTGGAGGAAGCCAGTGTTCCCAGAGAGAATCACTGATCTTAGAAGAACTGGAAATCCTACTAGTAAATTAAGATAGGAGTCGAACGTACTTGCTCAGAGTGGGGTTCGTATTTACAGCCTCGGTGTTGACAGGCTTGTGATAACTGTAGATGAACTACTTAAACCACTTGGCCACAGACACCCCCACTTCCGTTAAAAATAATGTCATATTTTTACCCAGGGCTACGGGCAACACTGCTGTTCCTAGAAAAATCAATATATGGTAGAATATTTCGTCAGTATCATGCTCACAATTTCCCTACATAATTTTTTTTCAAATTTTACAATTTTTGTTGCAACCTTTTCAAAATTATATTAATTTAATGGATAAATAATACATGTACTTTTTCTTCCTTAATTCCAGATGAGGGCATTAAGCATATTAAGCAAAAATTCAAAAATAAATTTCAGTATACGCTAATTGATATCTGACAAACTATAATGTCTTTAAAAAAATCTGAAATATATTTAATATCGATATCTGGTCTCAAATTCTTTCTAAATCTAAAATTCAAGGTGCTAAAAACTGTTTCTTTAACATTGCTTATCATGCCTTTTTCCATTTTTTTAATTGACAATCTTACCATACGCCATTGCTTCTTTTTGATTTGTGTTCGATCAATGCAGTGTTTCTAATGACACCCAGAACATCATCTTCATAGTGACTCCTCAGACTCCTGGTGCTGGCTGTTATACCTTCTATGCATCCATAAGGAATTGTTTGTTCTGGTAGCTCTTTCAGCTTCTTTATCAAATCTTTGTCTAAGCCATACCATTCTGCTTTCTTCATAAAATATAACAGCCATAAGATTATTAAAATACAATTTTTACCTCTAATTTCATAAAAAAAAATGACAGCTATCATTAGAAATGATTCATGAGACATGTGAGATGGCCATAAAATTAGAAACTATCCGAATCATATATACATGTACTGATTGTGTTTACTCACTCAGTATCTTTGGGAATACACAGTGGTTGTTGTCTCCCTTTTCATATATTATGTATATAGTGATAAGTTTTAGTTTATTGTAATTTTTAAATAAATACAAACATCACAATTTTTTGTATTCTTTAATTTAAACTGTAATTGGTCTGCTCCTTGGGGTGTCTTGATTGACAAATAAAAATTGTTGTTGTTGTATATAAACATTCATATTCTAAAAAAAAAAAAGGTCTTCAGCTCAATTGCTCGTTAGCAGATCCAAAGCACTGTGTCAATTTTAAAGCAATTTGTTCATGTTGTTTATAACACAGATTATTTTTTGGACAATGAAAGATATTTTGAGGGGACAAGAACCACAGTTTACCTGGTTATACTTGGGGAACTCACCATTTTGTATTCAGGAATTGTACTTTTTCCAAAATATCATGAAAATAATCACCTTTTTATTCCTAGAAGATTTTCTTTTTCAAACTTTATTACATTCTGCAGTGTATACAAATATTGCATATCTATTTTCTATATCTTGTGTTTACATTTGATGCCAAGGGTCACTACCCTATGACTTCACACTGTCTGAGGTGCCAAATGAGCAAATCTTTTGTACTTTAACCCCTCTGACAATTCTATTGCAAATCTTTATATAGCAAGTTACCCATCTATAAGACAAATAGTTATACTACTTAACACTATAGCCAGTTACTCATCTGAGGCAAATCTTTTATATTACTCATACTCATCACCGAACCTGTAGAAACAGTAGAATATATGTTGGATCTTTGTGTGGCTCATATGGAAGGATTCAATTCTTTTTAGCCTACCATATTTTGGTAAACTTTTGAAAACTAATTACAGACATCAATCTTAGTGTTTGCTGCCATGCAATATTTCGCATCAATTTTAGCTTTAAATACACTGTTAATGTTCAAATCAGTCCCTGAATTGGTACGTCAATGTATACCAATGACAGTCTAAATTCATTATAAACATGTTAAATGCTTTAATAGTTTTTGAAGAAATTACATCAACCATGTCAACTGGCATCTTTATGACTTTAAACATATTTTATTCAGCGTTTAAATTTACTAGCACTGTGTGGTTACCACTATTGGTTGACTGCTAGTCCCTGAGGGTACTACATGTATCAGCTTAGTAGTCAATACTTTAATGGTTCTGACAAGATTTATAACAAACCCTTTTGGAATTCTCTGTTGACAAATTAAGAAATTATTTAGAAACTAAGGTTCCAACTACATGTACCTCAGGCAAAGTTGATCTTGGGATTTGGCTATTCTATTTCAGTCTCTTTTGGTCATAGCTCCTTACCTGTACAAGAATTTGTCATCCCTAGATTTTAAATTGTTGGGTTTTAGTGTTCCTGATGAACAGAAGATAACTCCAGAAAGACGCTTTGTACAATCAAAATTCATTAAGTGTTATTTTTATTTAAATGTTCATAAGCTATACCAAGGGATAAGTGACAAGTTTTACAAGTTAGTAATTGTCTTCTCCGAATGTCTTCAACTGGTAGATTGTTCTGTTGTAAAATTCATTCATTCATATATTCCTTGGTTATCACTTGTCCCATGTCATGCATGTACAGTACATGATATCTTAATTAGATTTCAATGTATCAATCATATCAATAAAAGTTTCAGCAGATGATAAATGTTATCCACTTTGATTTATTAAACGAATCTGGGACTTACTATTACATGTTATAATAGATCACAGAACATATTTATAAATCAGATATATCATGTATATATAAAGAGTGATACACAGTTTTTCATACATTTAAATGAGATGAAAATTTGTGATCATTTAGCATATCAATTTATACTACCCATTAATATACATTGGATCACATTTGTGAAACTATACAATACCCCATTGGTATTATATTTGATATATAAAAAAGTCATCCATTGAATAAAAGCAACTTTGTTCCAAATAATACCCATCAGTGCCTTTAACTAGATCTGTGCTACGATATGTCAAATGGCTTCTTTCATTGTCTTTTGAGGGGCCTCAGCGGCCAAGTGGTCTAAGTAGTCGAACTACTGTATCACTTCAATTCACTAGCCAGTCAACACTGAGGTTGTGAGTTCGAATCCAGCATGGGGCAGGAGCACTCGACTCCAATCTTAATTGACTAGGATTGTTGTACTGAAGGTCGGTGGTTCTCTCTTGGCACTCCAGCTTCCTCCACCAATAAAAACTGACCGCCACGAAATAGCACAATAGTGTTGAAAGTGGTGTTAAACACCAATCAATCAATCAATCAATCACGGTCTTTTGTCACCTCACGTTATTTAATTCATGTTATTCCTTATTATTATACTATACCTGTGCACAATACACTTATTAAAAAAAAAAAATTTTTTTTGCATTCCTTGTGAAGACGACACATTAAAATGGCTTATTGTAAATTATAAGCTTTGTAATTACGAATACGAATCCATATATATATATATATCAACAGTTCAAGTGTCCTATCTACTGAACTTATTGTATTTGTAAAATAACCTGAATTTCGTTTGCTGCTCTTTTACTTCTTTTGTAAAAGTAATAAAAAATCAAGGCTAAACCAGCATCTACTGTTAACCCCACAATAAATCCTCTCAGAGAATCTGACATACTCGTCCTTGGTCCCACTCAGAAAGTGAAAGTAAAACTAGAAACCGGAACAAGCTAGGTTAGGTTCAGAAAAACAGCGAAACGAACTTACCAATTCGAAATTTGTAAGGACTGACACTTGGAAGTGAGTTGCAAGAAGAGAGAATTTGTCGCATAGAAATCAGCTGATATTGTATTTTTTGTGATTGACTGAGAATAATAAGTATTCCGTTGCATTAAAGGATCCGACATTTAGCTGTAAGTAATTGTATATTAGACACAATAGTACAGTAATGCGCTGCATGTAACATGTGTAAGATCATTCGCTGTCGGTATGATTTGAGAGTTTTCCGGGTTCTATTTCTAAGTCCATTGTAGCTTCATGTAATATAGAATTATACACATGGCAAACAGACTATTTAATCAATACCTGACAATGTACAAAAGCATAAAAAAACATATGAATTAATGGTCCTGTTGTCATTATAAATTTATCCTTTCTTTCTTACTTGACCCCAGGCCAAGGCCATGGGAAAGTGTTTGTTATACAGTTCATGCACAGTGTATGCTAGCATTTGACATTCACAATTCAAGAAATTTCCAGTACTGACAGTAGGATATCTTTTAATAAATATAACAGGTAAATCGTATGATATTGGATTTTTAGGAAACAAAGCAAAAATCTTTATAGAGCCATTAGAGGCAAAAAAAAGTGCTATATTTAGTTTTTATTCAGATTTGTAGATCTATCTAATTTGACTTATGACTTGTAAATCCCACTGAGTCTCCACTCAGGAATTTTTTTTAGATGGTGGATTTAATAATGGAAAAATATTTAATCTAAACTCTCATTATATATATATATATATATACATAAAATTTCTATTAGATGCATGAAGTTGTCAAAATGTATAGTGAAACGTTAAGAGGAAACTTTTTAAAGGGTTTCATGTGTTCGAAGATACTTATCTCATCAATTTTACATGATTGGATTTAATATTAAAGTCTGAAAAAGGGTTTCAGTCAAGGTTGGCCCAGACAAAATTTAATTTGCATTGACCAGGCCACTGTGGACAATATTGCATGGATGCATGATCATGTTGATAGTTAGGCTTTTTGGTCAATTGCTGATAGGAATGAAAATAGGATTTCAGTATTCAAGTCAATATTAGCTTTTTTACAAAACTGTACATGTTCTCTGTTTCCTAATTTTAAATGAATTTCTACATGAAATTACTTTATCATGGTTATTAGCTCAATAGATATAAGAAGATGTGGTATGAGTGCCAATGAGACAACTCTCCATCCAAGTCAAAATTTATAAAAGTAAACCATTATAGGTCAAAGTATGGTCAGTTCTTTTAAAAATAATTAATGGTCACTATTATCATGATTATAGTAAAGAAAGGACCCTGCTAGTCCAAATAATTATGACGTCTAGGAAGGCTATTTTAAATTTTTGCTTTGACGCCTTCCTGCGTCAATGTGGGATCAAAAAAAGTCAAAATCGAAAAATACCCACAGCAGACGGCATGATTATCTGGACTAGGACCCTGCTAACTTTCCACTTCCTGCATTGCATGCATTGAGAAGATATTTGTGTCACAGTTGAGTAGACAGGAAATTGATTGTTTTTTTTAACTTTTAAGCAACCAACAAAAATCACTTCCTGTTTATATGTAAACATTTATTTAGGGCTGTTGTTTTTAGTTATTAGCCATGTGCACATGTTAGTTAACTTTTATTTTATCTGCATACATTTGTACACATACTACATGTAATAGTAGAGAAACAAAGCATTGATTTTGATTGGTAATCATGGTAATAGTTTTTTGATAATCCTGAACTTTATACTAGTCTTAAGACCATCAATTTATTTTCAGATATCCAAACTGAAATGGCAGACAAACTAAGATTCATAACATATTTGTCTCCTGGAATACCAGTGCAATTATTTGAAACAATTATGCACTACCTCGAGGAGGTAACAGGGAACCAGACATACTTAATCCATGAGTCCAGATGGAGTGGTCCCCCCTTAGACAGAGAAGATCCTTTCACAGCAAATGATGCAGATATTGGTATATATTTTGAATAATGTTTAATGATAAATAGACTTGTTAAAATTGTTTGTACTGTACATTGTTTGCCCCTGCCAGTATATAATAAATTCTGTTATAAAATATATTCAGATAACACTATGGTACCATGCTATAAGCTAGGTCCTGGGATTAACACTGTATGTCGTTATATTTCACACAATAAGTTTATTTGAAGCTGTATGATGTTTGCATGTGTTTCGTTCGACTTGTATTAAGGATGTTCTTAGGTGAAATTAAAAAAATCTAGAATTTAAAATTGATACTATAAGTCGGAAGAGCATTAGTTAAGGAACAAAATAAGCTAAAAATATTGATAGGTTCGAGATATTTGATTTTTAAAAAATGGCGGGAAAAGACTGACTCACTCAGACTTTTACCTTATATTTGCATTGATATTATTTGGGTCTCAAATCGAAAGAAAAGAAATCTAGAATCTGCTTAAATTTTGGTAAATGACCTTTTATGAGCTATTGATCGAGTCTTATATGAAAAGAAAAATGGGTGTTATGGGGCAAAAATATTTTACCCTGTATTGTAGGAAAAAAACCAAGGAGTCCGAACATCTGACACATTGATATATTTGATGTATCAAAAAAGGGACCCATGGATTCAAGCATCAGGTCTGTGCCGAACTTTATATAGGAGGAGACCCCTTATGTCTGCAACATATTTATATTTACATGTTTTAGCTTTTAATGTATTTAAAGTGATAGATAAGATAAGATAAGATATTTTTATTCCAATTAACATGATTAAAGGGCCCATGAAGAGCAAATTATTTTATTACAATGATTTTGATAATTGACACAATAATTTTGATAATCATATATAAATATGAATATAATCATCTCAATTCTAAGATCTTAAACCACAGCCAGACCAGAGCCATACACATATGAGTAAAAAAAGCATAACAGTTATGTATAATATTAACAATATGATATGATGTTAAAAAAGTTCGGTGTGTTTTGTTTTCCATTTTCAGGATTTATGTGTTCACCAGGATTTCTGAGACTTGTAAAGGAGAAAAAAGAAGTAGAACTTTGCCAAGCTGCACCAGTATATAACCATGTTAGAGGAGAGCAAAAACCTGTTTATTTCTCTGATGTTATAACAGTCAATGATGATAGTGGTACAAAGTAAGCTCTAGATATCATATGCACAGTGATTCAATTTAAAATCATGGTTTCTTGTGCAAATGTATTCCTATTTACTTGTGATTTTATGGGGATAACAGTCTGATTTATGACTCAGTCATGTTACTTTTAAATAAACAAAGAAAAGCTTTGAACCATACACTAGCAATCCTCAGTATTAATTGTTAAAAATCTTCAAAAAGAGTGATTTCTCTATGAAACATTTTATACTTGTTTTATAAAATAATTCAGGTGAAGACTTAAGATTCCTTTTATTTTCCTGAAGCAAAATGCACATACACACTCACACAAGCACTTTCCTGTTACTATCATAACTATAGATTTTTGTAATTATTTTTATTCAGACAGGAATTTAAAGAATTCACTGATTTAAAAGGGTTTTCCTTTGCATTCAATGAACCAATGTCATTAAGTGGTACTCTGATAGTGTTAGGAGAGCTGAAGAAAAGAGGATATAATTCCACGTTCTTTGGGAATACTCTGCAATCAGGTACAGTATAAACATTTATAATACTTCACGTAAAAATGCAATATTTTGATTGGCTTATACGAGGGTGTTAATTTACTCTAACCCCCCCCCCCCCCACTCTATCCTATGGCAAATACTCTATTACCCTTCACGGAGACGCTTGATCAAGTGTGCGCTTTATTAAATATGACTCTATCCTATGGCAAATACTCTATTACCCTTCATTGAGACGCTTGATCAAGTGTGTGCTTTATTAAATACAGATGGTTGTTATGTACAAGACGTCATAGTTTATTACTTTGAATTTGAAATTAAATCGACAGTAATAACAGAACATTCAGTATAATAAATTAATTAACACATATCTGAGAGGGTGATAGAGCAGATTGTTACCCCTCGAAAAGACATTGTCAACCTTGGATTCGCCTCAGTTGACAATGTTTTCTCGGGGTAACAATCTGCTCTATCACCCTCTCAGCTATAAGTTATTTATATAGTGTTACCCATAAGAAAGTTAAATTATGAGATAGGTGACAAAAATGGATCTTAAGGTTGTACATGTAGTAAAAGGGTTATAAACATAATGCTATTTTAAAAAAAATATGATAAATATTATAGGTCACTGACCTTATTTCCAAGCTACAGGTTGTGAAAAATTTACACATTTTGTAAGAATTGTACATTTTCATGATTGTTAAGGCATCATTATGCAAAATAAAAAAAAATTGGACAGAAATTTGAAAAAAAATATTTGAGAAGTAAGATCTTTTAAAAACTGTTTAGGAATATTAAGAGAAAATGGGGTCACTCAGTACTTTTTCTTGCTACAAATGTGTAAAACATTATAGAAAAATTAACTTTACACCCTTTTATAATATTGAATAATCTGATTTGTCTCCCTTACAAGGACCCAGAAACTTTTTCACACAATTTCAGTCATTTTGAGATGACTTGAAAGTTAGGGTCTTCTATTTTCAAACGGTCAGAATAATGACAGACAACACCATTACAAAAAGAAAAACAAAAAGGTGACAGTTCACAAGACACTGCCAAATAATATGAGTAACACAAACCTCATCAAAAACCAGATGGTGGAGAAGAACTCAGGAGCATCAAATTAATTGTCCATAAAGTCTGATAACTGAGTAGACAAACCAGTCATATTTTTGGTCCCTGTAACATCAGAATGATTTAAAACAGAATATATTAACTATTTTCTTATTCTTTCTGACTGTTTTTTTAGAAGTTTTTATTGCAGTGGATAATCATTTAGGTTGTTATTAGATCTTATTCAGATTTATATGTTTGAATTTCTTTCAGGATGCCATAGAAATTCAATCAAGATGGTGTTAGATAGGAAGGCAGACATTGCAGCTATAGACTCAAACACCTTACATTATTATTTACAAGAACATCCTGAAGGGAAGGACAAGATCAAAGTTCTGACATCATTTGGCCCTCTACCTATTCATCCTATAGTATTTAATAAAAGATTACCAGGTAGGTGTAAATGATGAAATAATGATAAAAGGTAAAAGAAATAGACCTTTTTGCATTTGAGACTGGAAGTAGAAACTTGTGTGAATAAAAAGAGATGAGCAGAATGCATCAATGAGACAACAACTCAACAACAAAAATAACCAAAGCTACTGTGAATTCATTTATTTTCCTGGGTACCAATTTTCGTGGGATGAGGAAAGATTGTATATCTGTAAAAACTTACTTTTGTAGTTTTGCAAAAGTCTGCTTATAAACCAATTGAAAATATCTACTTCAGTGAACATTTAAATTCATGGTTCATTCACCTAAACCCACAAAATCCACAATAAATTGGTATACAATGAATAATAATGAATCCACAGTATCCATACATGATGGTAAGCTCTAAATCAGACTGAGGTCTAAAGATAGATATCAAAGATCTACCATCCACATCAAACACCAAGGTTTTCAAACAGAATACAAATAAGATGTGGTACGATTGCACATGAGACTACTTTCCGCAGAGACCAAATGACATAGAAGTTTAAAGCTAAAGTTCGCCATACCACCTTCAACGATTAGCAAAACCCACTAGTACACGCAAGATGAATCAGTTATAACTCTATTACTGGTGTTGAGTTAATCATTGTGAAACATAGTGATTTGGGGTGATAATGCTATGAATAACAATAATAATAATACTATTTTTTCATGTATGGCATAAATCAGACAGATGAAAATCACATGTATGTTGTGTTCAATGTGTGTTGGGTATGAAGCCAATAATAGAAAAGCTTAAATATGTTTATCCAAATATATATGCTACTTTGAATTTCTAGTACAAATGACAGGCAGTGTCTATTAGAGGGTCTTTCTTTATAAATTAATATGAAAATTAGAAGTGTGGAATGATTTCCAATAGTATTATCCCAAGGACCAAAGGTCAAGGATGTAAACAACTGCAGGTCATCTTATAGCCTTTAACAATGAGCAAAACACTGTTACTGTATAACATAGTAACACATAAAAGTTCCAAGGATAACAAAATGTCTAACAGAAAAAAACTAATGGCCTGATAATGATTTAAGCAAATAACATAAAATGAAATATTATTTATATCTTTTATTGACTTTCAGCTGATTTAAAGAAAAAAATAACAGATGCTTTGTTAGATATACACAACAAACCAGAGTGGATGAATAAACTGAGAGAATATAATATATTCAAATTTGTTGCTGTAGATATGTCCCATTATGACATGGAAATTAATCTCTTAGATGCTGTCAAAAATCTAAAAATAGCTTCAGCTTATTATTAGTGTAAATTATTTACCAGTACACTCACTGCTGTTGATTATTAATTGTTTTATGACACATAAATTCAGCTTACTATTAGTATACATTATTTACACTTACTGCTGTTGGTTATCATGGTTATACATTGTTTTATGACACGTTAATTCAGATATATGTTAAAACTGGGCAAAATTACTAAAGTGGAATTAAATAATTTTTTAAATGATTGACTTTTTATTGACCAAAATATGTTGTATTTTTCTAAGACTTTTTTGTTTCATCATATGTTATTTTGAACATTCCTGTACAATACTTTAATACAAAATCAGCAGAAAAAATTGAATATACAGTACACACATGGTAATTCAGTAACAAATCACTTCTGTGGTAAATCAGTAACAAATCACTTCTGCTAGTGTTGAGTGATTGCTGGTGATTGAAGGTGATAATGGTCTGGATTACAAACTTGTTATTATAGTTTACTGGGATATACAGAAAAACATTACGGATTGAATCACCAGCAGTCATTGTGAAAAATCACTTCCAAGAGTGATTTTTAACTGAATCCAATTGCGAGTACTGTGGATTCATTTATTTTTGTGGATACCAAATTGATTGGAAAAATTCTGTTTTGGTTGATATTTTTTTTACTTGTTTTGCCAACATCTGCATACAAGCTTATGTATTTCATTGAATATTTATGGTTCACCATTACCCATGAAATTCACAAAATTTGGTATCCAACGAGTATTAATGAATCCACCATAGTGTAACACTTACATAAGGGGTAACCAGAATTAATATACACATGTATATTTTAATATATTATTTTTTTCTGAATCAAGTTGTTAATAAGCTGTATCTGTTGTAAATCAGCTGTTATGTATTTTTTGTTGTTTGTATTTTTTCTAACCAGTATTATATCTTTTTCTATTGACAAAGGTGCAATATCACCATAAAAGGTTTGGTATATGAATTATTAGCTTACTATTTTAATTTATATTTATTCCAAGCATATTTAACCTGATTTAATTAGGATCTTAATAATATATTGAATTAAGGAATCTAGTGTGAGGTTGAAATGATATAAGCTTTTGTTACTGACAAGTTGCTTCTGAATATGATCCTACATCCATTTTTTTATTGAAGGAACTTTTTTTTACAGTTTTTACTAGGCGAGTCCATGACTCCTGAACTCATGGAAATCTGTCTGGACTTACAGAGTTCTCGAAATCTGTTTTTCCCTGGTGGTCCTTGAAGAAAATCTGCTGGTCCTAACTATTATTTCTACTACCAAATACAAAAATTGTGTCTGTCCTTTGCAAAATTTGGTGGTCAAAACCTTCGGACCACCATTTTTCTAGAACTCTCCACTTATCATTTTGAAAACTGGTGAGATAAAAAGTTCATCAGGATTGTAAAATGTTGTCTCAACTGAGCACATATATCATCATTTTATAACAAGTATTTAAAAATAATCTAAATTTGATGTCATTTCCATGCTCTACTCTGTCATGTAGACTGAAATAATCAATTATATAGCAATAAAATTTCCTCTTCTCCTTGTTGGACTCACCATGGCCAAATAATGATGAGTCCCTGGACTTGCCTTTAAAAACCTTTAGTGAGAACCCCGAGTTAAAACCAAACTTGTTTCTATTCTAAGATAATTAAACAATAGTTAAAGTGTGTCACTGTAGGCTGTCATAATGTTAGAAAAATGTAAGCATGTTTTGTCAAATCAAATTCTGTTTTACTCTCTATATATAAACCTAATTAAATATACAGTTTACATCATTTAACATAATTTTACAGTAATCCTTAAATAAAGCCAACCCTTCAACAGGGGAAATGTAGTATTATGAAAGTGATGACCCCTGATAGAGTTTATTTACAAAACAAATCTGCTGATGTATACAATAAAAAGGCATGCATTAGAGAAGAGGGGTATTTCAAGAGATAATCTCATATATACTGCCAAAATTGCTTAAGTCTGAGGTTGTTTCTTGATTAGTTATGTCAAATTTTGCACATTTACCAATTTATTGGAACATTAAATTCACCAAATACTAAATAAAGTACAAATTTCAATACTACAAGTTTCTAAATGACAAGATCTTTGACATTATACTGGTGTTACAGATATTTATTTGCTAAGAAATTTTTGGGATTTGTGATGGAATATTTAATTTTATACTTGTAATATAATGGAAGATTATTCGATATTAATGTCTTTTATGAATTTGTTTCATAAATTTTGACCAATCATACTTTCAACTCAGATTTTTTTGCCTAGTAGAAGTAGAGTTGTACTGTAAATTCGGAAATTATTGCGATATTTTTATAATTGTGAAAAATTCGACAGGGTTGTAATCGCAATAATTTAAACTCGCATGTTGGATTTTTTTGTATGAATGAAGCGGGATTTTTGTCAGTATCACAAAAATAATAATCGCATATTTGGTCTAAAATGACAAAATCACAATAATAAATGAATACAATAATTTCTGAATTTACAGTATTATATTGTGATATAATCTTTCACATATTGATATTTTTAATGGGGATTTTGTTAAAGAGATAGATCAGATACATATTTTGTTCTAATTGTTATTTTTTATATTAATGTTATAAATTGTTATATAATTGTGATATCTAAACTGTTTCCTTCTATCTGTTAAAATTTGTGTACTGTCAACAGATTTCCATTTTTTCATATTTATTTATCCAATTGTTTTGCACTTAATTTTTGACAATCTTTTGCATTCATGATTTTTGTTGTATCCATGCAAAGTTAGTTGTTTTATAGACAAAAAAATCATATCATCATAAACACAGATAATATCCAAATACAAGTGAACAAATATTGAACTTAAATTTAGATTTAAAATTAAAAAAAATCCTATATTTGTGGTTTCTTGATGATAAATGAGAAAGGACTTTTTGATATTGATTGAAATTTTGATGGAAAGATTTGGATCACTAAACAGAAGCTTTTTTTCTCAAAACTTTAAAAAAAAATTAACCAGAGTTATACCCCTTTATAATATGAATTTATTTTTTATTCCTTTCAAAATTGAAATAAATACGAGCAATTCTTGTCTAAACATCAGCATTCAGGTGAGCACCTGACTCAAATAAATAAAGAAAAGACAACATTCAGGGAAGATCTGTTTTTTTCATTTTATAGCCCTTTGAACTATGGCAAAAATATCAAATCTTATAAAATTCCACAGTATGCTGCTACAGAAACAAAATCATGATCTCTCAGTTGCTACAGACAAGGGTATCTGTGATCACTGGATTCACGCTCTAGTTTCAATGATTTTTGTTTTTTTAGATGTTTTACATACATATCAGAGGGTTAACTGTATTTAAGACGAACAGGAAAACTAAAAAGCCTTCTATTTTAATATGTTTAGCTTTGACTACATGTCTGTCTCTCACACTGTTTACCAGAAGGTGTAAAAGATAGCAATTTCATGTTCTCAGGTACAGGCAATATGGCAATATACTTAATTCTGTTCAAATGTATTTGTTTCATAATCATATTTTACTTTTGACAAGTTGGGTAAATTTAATCAAAGAAGTATTAAAATTTTGCTAGTCATGCTGATTTAATATAAATATACAAATGAGTTAATGTTGAGAAGTTTTTTAGCAAGATTTTTCTGAACCCAATTCATTATTCGTTTAGAATGTTATGAGTGAGGTAAAAAAGGAACAAATATTGTTATTTCAGGTTTGTTGTTATGGTGTTCGATTGGTATTGTTTTATATATATATATATATATACATGTATATCTTATAGGTGCATGCTGGTCATAAGTTTACTGAATAAATTTTTAATTTCAGAATTATATAGTACCTGCTTATCCTGGTTAAATATTTTTTCTATCTTAAAAAAAATGTACAATTTAGATCTTGACATATTCGATATCATTTATTATTGAAGACTGTATGTTGCTTTTTGATTATTTAAGTAGCTGGGTTGCTGTCTCATTGACTTATGCCCCACATCTACTATTTGTAAAACCAATCAACATCGTACAAAAATGAAACAATCAGTTCCTACAAAATTTAAAATAAATGAGAAATTTATTAATTACAAATTTGTTTAACTTTAATTTGAAATTTCTATTTATTCAGTATATATATTTGATCTATACATTCCTGTATAAATTGTTGGAACACAAGATGAATGAAAAATATTTTCATGATTATATTATATTTATTTATATGATAATAAAAAAATACTAAAATATGTTTTTTTGTGTTGTTGGTTTGCTTTCTCTCTGATACTTACACCACATTTCCTTTTATTAGCTATATGTTGTTTTTGATTTACTTAGTGTTAAAAATTTAAAAAAAAATCTATATAGGTTATACAGTGGAAAATAATATGAAATTGTCTACCCCTCCACATGGGGCATTTTTCTCTAATTCTTATATATATTTTTTAGAACCCATTATTTTTCTATTCTTAAAATTTTTTGGCCCATTATTATCTATTTTGTAAACCTCATCTAGACCCTCATTTTGACAGCACCACTCCTACTTGTCTATATGTAAATATAGGGCAAATTATTTATGAGCTAGATTTATTTGTACTTATGTATCTGATACATGTTTAATAACTAGTCTGTTAATGTATTAACATCTATTCTAATCTCAGGCATTTTATACTTCCATTAAGTGTGTAGTTTTATAGTTTAAGGCCTTGGTTGACCTCTAGAAGTCTTTTGGTTTTTTTTTTATGGTTTTGTTGCTGTCTCAGGAATGTATATAACAAGAGTGCACACGCTGAAATGTCTCACCTGCTATACTGACAATTGATTTTATGTTGATAGTCATAAATATAAAGTTTTACTACAAGTATCACATTAACATAAACATGATCCAAGAAAATGAGGTCAAGGTCAGATAAACCAACTTGGAAATACATGTACACCTTACAATCATTCCATACACTGAATATAGTGTACCTATTGCTTATAGAAAGAGACCAAACCAAGAAATGTTTATATTGACCAACGAACCATGAAATGAGGTTATAGTCAGATGAACCCTGCCAGACAGACATGTACACCTTAAAATCATTCCATGCATCATATATAGTTGACATATTGCTTATAGTTATCTAAGAAACAAACTTAACCAGGAAAACTTAACATTGACCAATGACCCGTGAGAATGAGGTCAAGGATAATGGACACATGACAGACGTAAACTTCATATCATAAGGCATCTATATACAAAGTATGAAGCATCCAGGTATTCTATCTTCTGAAATATTAAGCTTTTAAGTAGTTAGTTAATTAATGCCGCTGCTGCCGAATCACTATCCCTTTGTCTCGCTTTCTGCGACAGAAGTCGCAGGCACAACAAAAATAAGGAGAACCTTATACTTCACACATAATCTATTCAACCCCAGAAGTGTCTTCTTAACAAAACCATCATTTAATCCAACAACAGGTTAACTGGAGCAAATAAATACTGTAAATTCAGAAACTTTTTCCTGTATTTATTATTGCAATTGTTGTATGGTCACCTTGATTTCTCCTGTCTGTCAATAAGAGGCATGCTTAAAGAGTGCCCATTTGGCTGTGTGGGTTGTGTAAATATATAGAGAATGCGGGTTTTAAACCTCCTTTTGGGAGTGCAATATCCTCTTTGCACAATGCGTGTTTTAAACCTCCTTTTGGGAGTGCAATATCCTCTTTGCACAATGCGCATAGAAAATAATTCTTTCCTGACAGGTCCTGCAGGTGACCAGTTGCAAAACAAAATTTTGGCTACTTTTACTACGTTAAATTTTTTTTGTCAGTGGAGGCCCAAATTTCCATCCGTCATGATCATCCATGTTGAACTGCTTTGTAGCATTCACCTATTCTGGTTATTGGTTTATTGTCAAATGTGCTCTCATACTGAATAGGTTTGAAATATTTGCCTCTGAATTTTATAAAAAAATAATCTTTCAATCAACTGTGAAAACCCAAGTTTCCAACAACTTTTGCCATTTGTATAATTTAGATCCAATTTATGGCATCCATTCATGTCCATGTTTTAACATCAAATTTTTGTGCCAAAGTTAAGGCTTTGTGTGTTAGAAATTTGTGTATGGTTGGCAAATCTGATACACATTTAGAACAAAACTTGAAAAAAAAATTATACTGAAATATCTTCCATTTTGGCCAGACTATTAATATTTGGAACCTCTAGCAGTTTTTTGTTTTGAAAAATGATCAATGATATTATTTCCTGTGCATTTCCATAGACTGTGTTGGTCTGTAAAATGAGCCGTTGATACATGAAGCTGATGTCTAATTTCTAACCAAACTAATAAAGAAGATAATTTTATAATTTTTGTTTCCTTTTATTTTTCAATATTTATTCATTAAATAAATAAGTACAAAAATATATATATTTTTCAACAACTAATATTCATATCAAAACGAACTTCTAAATCTATGGATGGATTCACATTAGATATCACAGTTTAAAATATGTCTGACTCAATATAATGATAAATCTGTTGAAAACATATAAACAAACACAGACATTAGAAAATATGGAATAAAAAAATGGTGGACAGAATATGATTTAAATTTGGCAGTCTCATTTCAGAATATGTTTGAAACAAATTGAGTATCAGTTAAATTCATAACAAAAATATTGGATTTCCTGTGAATCCATAAGAAATATTTTGCAGTGACTAATGATAAGTAGATTTATATATATTCCACCACTGCATCAAGTGTATTACAATATTTCTCCACTCGAGACAGTAAATTTTTTAAATTTAAATCGTGAGGCTTGCCGAGCTTTTTAAATATTTAAAATTTAACTGTTGAGAGTGGAGAAATATCATAATACACGAGATATAGTAGGGGAATCTGTTTCTCTAATGATTTTAAGACAATTTCTAAACAAGTTTAACCTTCCTCTTCAAAGATTTGCAGAAAGTTGTGTTCTTTATATGTGACGTCATCAGGCATGTTCGCCTTTTTTCATGACGTCACAATAGGAAATTCAGAAGAAATCAAGAAAATTTGACGTTATAATGGAAACTTCGTCCAATCATTTGCCAAAAACAAAGTTTTCTCTAGAGAGGAGAAAATTTTTTCTCACACCTATGGAGACATGTGAAAATAGCATGAAAATTAGAGAAATAATTTTCACTTATAATACATACTCAAATACTGTAAATTCAGAAATTATTGTGTGCATTTATTATTGCGATTTTTGAAGATTGGACAAAAATGTGAGATTTATTATTGCGATTTCAGTTATATCTTCATATAGCTATATGTATCATATTTAAAGAAATGTAAGTTCTCGTTATTGCGATTCTCACCCATTTGCATTATTTCCATTAATATAAACCTCGCAATAATTTCTGAATTTACAGTAAAACAAATAACATTCTAGAGAACATGTTTCTATACTAGTAGAATGCAACATATTGAACATATTTATTTTAATGTTTTGGGGTTGTTGTCAATTTGCGCTATACATCATATCTCGGATTTAAACGTATACTGATATTGAAATTATGGATTTCTTGTAACGCATGAAATTAAGCAGAGTATCCATATCCAAGATGTGGTATATATGATTGCAAATGAGACAACTTTCCACCAGAAACCAAATGATGTAAAAGTTAGCAACTATAGGTAACCATACGACCTTCAACAATGAGCAAAACTCAAGTAAAAAGTTATAACCAGAAACAATATACAGCTATATAAAATCATTAAGGGACATTAACCAAGGACCAATAATTGAAAGAAAAATATATCATATTGTAAAGAGATAGGGGCCAATAACTGAAATTATTTCTCATATTATTTTTAAATTAAAAAAATGCTACTTTAGTACCTTGCCTAATGACTGATGTGACCACAAAAAATGTACATAGTACTCAAAATTACACTGGTTTGATTGCACAAGACATCTTTTTAACTATTTGTTAAACGATTTGGTTGCATGTCGTAAAGTATATTCTAATTTTACCCAGGGCTACATAAAACCGAGAATATGTGTCAATAGGACACCATACCCTGCTAGCACTATTACATTTCCATGATCAGTGAATCATAACATCTGTCTTTTTGTTAAAATCATTCCAATATGGCAGTCATTTGGGCTCTTGGATGCTTTATTTTCATGTAAGGATCATTTAGTATATATGATGCTACAGAACTAGGTCGACCTTCAGCCATATCTGTTTCAAGGTCATCTACAACACTTTGTGCTTTGTCACTAATTAAATGCACATCTGAAGATAAACAGTCTTGTACCATTCTCATCATATGCTTAACTTCCTCCAAACGGAATAATGTCTACAAAAAAGATTAATAATGAAAATCAAATTGGTTTAAAAAGGAGCTTTGCTCACTAATGATTTAAGTATTCGGTAAACAGGAAGTTTATGAGCAATCGAAGTGAAAATGCACCACATGGTATAGAATGCTTACATCAAGTTTGATACAAAATTTTAGGGTGCATAGATCCGTAGTTCCCCCCTTGGTAGTGGGGGTATAATTATTAATCAAATAACATTAAATCAAAACTGACCAAAGTATAATAAAAAAGACAAAGAATCAGAGCTATACATGTGCCAAGACTCTTTCTTTTACGATGATAAATGACATACTTTCTTTGGCAAAGTATTAAAAAATCAGTATTTAAGTTTAAAGCCACAGCTATGTTATGTATATAATTTGAAAGAACTATCATAAAATGTGTTTTTATGGTCTATTTTCTAATAAATGTTATTTACAAAAGTTCTCTTTCAATGTTTATTTTTAAGAGAAAGCAAAAACTTTACAAATACCTGGTCTTCGTAAGCAAAGTAAAAGTTATTAAGATATGGATCCTCTTCTATTGATGTTTTCAATTTAGCTTTGACAAATTCTGCTAATGCAGCGCTTGCAAGAGTTATCCTCCCTTTACATATCTCTACCAGACGTCTGTGGAACACCATGCACATCTGACCAAATACTCCTTCGTCAATGGGACTCTGAAACAGTGAATAAATGTTTGACTTCACAAAATTTTCTTTATTGACCTTCTAAATTTCTTAAATAATTGAATGAATATTTTAATATTTCTTATAACTCTCTGAAATGCAAAATTAAAATTTTAAATATTTGGTGTAAGTTGTGGGCCTAAATTAACCACAGCCTGTTCTTGTAACAAAATAATAGACCTTAGTTTGTACAATTGTAGTGGATCTAGATTTCCCATGGTATCTGAACCATAATCTTGTCATCTGGAACTACATTTATGTTTATGGGACATCTTCTTTTTGATATATATATATACAGGTATATACTAGGTACACCATCAAGGAGGCTAATGATTACTGTTGCATGCATGGTCTTTTCACATAAATTAATCAATAAATTTAAAAAAGGAAATTCAGTGCTATTTTGTAACATTTTTTTTCTAGATATTTACAGTAAAGAACACATATGAAAATTTGATAAACTTCAGTTTTTTGTGTGTTATCAAAGAGACATCAGCTGCCACATTTAGGTCTGTTTCACCTGATAATTAACAACAAGGGACAGTCTTAATTTTGATTCTGTTTTTTTACAAACTAGAATTTGATAGCATTTAACCATTGCCTTATAAAGATAATAATGGTTATGTGTTATCAAATATGCATCCAGAATCAGCTTCAATATTTCAGTTTTGTTCATACCTAGAAATTATGCTGCAATGCAAACCATAATATTCTTTTCTAATTTCCTTTTTTTAATCAATAGTGACCTTTAGCTTAATAAAACAGATATTTCTGACTTAAGCTGATCTCGATTTCATGTACTGTAAATTCAGAAATTATTGCAATGTTTTTATATACATGTATGTGAATAACGCGACTAGGTGAGTATTGCAATAATAAAAAAACATATTTTTCTATCTGATGTATATATATGGATGCAGTATTTTTTTAAATAGCAATAATTAATCTCCCATTTTTGTCCATTCGTTAAATATGCAATAGTAAATGCATGCAATAATTTCTAAATTCACAGTACCAATTCTATCATTTACCTGGAAATTTGGTAGCAGAGTATTTGCTTTTCTTGCTTTATGTGAATCAGCTGTCTTTTGACCAGTCTGAGCTCTGGACTGAGGAGGTGTTGCCCTTGTTCTTTGACTTGCAGCCGTGTTTGGTGTTGACTCATATTTTGTAAGGAATTCCTTATATTCTATAATAAGCTGAACCAGGTCCTGTATAGCATCAATGATGGCTATAATATACTCCACTTGGGCAGCGACAGAGTGAAGCATCTTCCAGGACTCACCAATATGGGTGTCATTCTGTAAAATTAAGATGACCGCATAGAAAAATATTTAGCTTTTATTTTTTGGAATAATGAAAAACAAAAACAAAATTGTGAATTTGCAGTAACATAAATAAATAATTTGAAAATTGATACATGTCAGGGCCTTTACTAGCTGACTATATGGTATGAGTTGTTAAAGGCCGTGCTGTGACCTATGATAGCTTTTATCTCTGTCATTTGAACTCAGGTGGATAGTTGTCTCATTGGTAATCATACCACATCTCCTCATTTTTATACAATTTATTAAAGAAGTTCTAAACAATTTATTTGAAAAAAAAGACAATGATTATAGGACACCATGACCTGCTTGCACCATCACATTTCAATTTTCAGTGAAAAGTCAAAACCTTAATTTGGCAAATAGTTTTTTTTTACATCTTTAAAATGAACATGCATACTAAGCTTCAAGTTGATGTGACCATAACATCACTGTTAACTACCTTGAACCAAAACTTTAACCTGATACTAGACAGATGGATTAAGGGACAGATGGTAAATGGACATATCCTTTGCTTTTTTTTCTATTAGATACGTTAGACTAAAAATGTAATGCCTCCTACTATAAGGATGTATAAATAATCATGTGCAAAAAATCTGCTGCAATGAAAACCAATTTTGGATGTGTAATCCTTTCTTTAAATGACTACTAAATGCATTGAGCAGGTACATAGGATAGTTGGCACATGTAATGCATACATAACATTCGTGTATTTTATGACTGGAAAATATATTTTAGCAGTTGTGTTTTCATGTTAATGAAATAACTTCAGCTACATAATAAAACACTGTCTGACATACCACAAACTTGGGTAACCTCCTTAAGGTGGCTAGGGCGTCTTAATTAAAATTGATAGAATTTTTTGATAATTTGTCAAAATGAAGTATTTATCATGCTTTTTTCAAAAATATAACAAAAAGTATGGGTCACCGAACTTTTTTTCACGCTAGAGGTGCAAAATTGTCAGATTTTGTATAGATTATGCATGGAAAATCAAATTTTTTGTGATAAAAAGAAAACTACTTGATAGAACTTTAAGATAAAATGTGAGAAGATAGCTCTTATAAGATGCTTCCAGATAAGAAAAAGAAAAAATGGGGTCACCGAACTTGTTTTCTTTCTACATATCAAAATAGGTTAATTCACAACACTTTCTATTATAAAAATTACTTTATCTGAGTTATCTCCCCTTATTTGGCAAAGTTGAAAAAAATCTAATTAAAACACAAATAAGGTGTTTTTGAGAAATTACAGCCGTAATTATGATATAACACACAATTTAATTTATTTACATCAAAAGTCTTTAAAATAAATTACATATTACTCTCAAAATTTGCACATTTCATGAAATATCTAGACCAACGTTATCTGCTACTTCGAAATCCAAGATGGAGGAAGACACCTGACCCACCTTAATATCTGACATTTTCTGTAGTGGCAGCATCAGATTCTAAACATAAGCTTATTTGAGATACTGTAAGATCTTAAGAAAGGTTAAGCTCTCTTATAAATTTGAGATTATCCGTACCTGCTGAATGAGACTCTTGAGAAGGAGGGCCCTGTGAACAGTTATCCAATCAGATCTTGATTTTGCAGCAGCCATCATATAATCTAGATGATTGACAGAATTCTTTACATTAGGGCCAGTCATGGAATTTACTCCTTGTTTTGGTCCACCATTCTGATAGTGAAATGCTGCCTGTAACAATAAACGATGATGTATAAGTTGAATTAAAAGGATTTTGAACAGAAAACCAATTTCTTTGACAGTTAGAGAACACAGTTATTGTCCTTTGATTTTCGTTGTATTTTTTGCAAATTTTGAAAATACACCTTCCAAATTCATTTCTTCTATTTCCTGCTCAAAATATCATGCATTAAATCAAGGACTAATGCCATCATAATATCTGTATACCATAATTACTGTTATTTTTTTTTTGCCTTCTGCTATGTCAATTTTCACTTTTTTAGATACAAATATATTTTAAAGTCATCTATTTTTTTATGATTTGTAAACTTTAAGTCACGGTGTCTGAATGAAAAATATTTTGAACAATTAATGAAGAAATTGAGAGGAAATTTCAGGTAAATACAAAAAAATGAATGTAAATTTCTGTTTAACTATGATCTACAAGCATTGTGAACACAAATGCTAAGAATGATTATCTTCATGCAGTTAATACAATCTGTAGTTTATGGTGCCAGTTTTTTTTTGAGAAAAAAAAACAATACCATTTCCCATTAACATATTGATGTTTATGGTTTTTAGAACTGTGTGTCTTTTCATCTTTTTCTTCTTTTGGTAATAGTATTATTTGTGTTTCTTCAACTCATAGTTGTTTATTGCCCCTTGGTATCTTTCCCTTATTTTAAATGTTTACTTACCCTATCTCTGCTAAGGAATATGCTTTGGTAAAATGCTACTGGATTATCTGGGAAAAATAACTCTCCTCTGAAATATAGAAAACAATTATAGTCATTTGACTAATAAAATAGCATCATTAATAGATTGCATATACACAAATTGTATTATGAAAAGGAATTGTCTAAATTTACTTTCTTTTGTTTGAAACAATAATTTCCAAATAATTGCTATGTTTTTATCAATACAGAAAAGTTGGTGGATATGACTTATAAAAATAACTCAATATGTGTTAGAAAAATGCATTTATTAATTTCCCTCCTTTTCAGTTCTCAGAGATCAAGAATAATTTGATAACAACCATGCATACAGATATACATTCCTATCAATTGAACATGAAAATTTTTGTTGCTGTTTGAGTTTGTGTTGCTCAGTGTTTACGTTTTTGGTAGACTGTTGTTTAGTCTTTTCATGCGTTTTTAGGGTTTTTAGTCATGATTCTGTCAGTCTCTCTTCAACTTATGAGTTTTGATTCTCCCTTTCATCTCTTTTTTTTAACTTACTCAATTTCATCATCTGTCATGAAGTGGAGTAGGAAATATTTTCTCACTGGAACATATCTCCATTGGTCCATCAAAACAAAGGCCTGCACAAAAATAAACAGGAAATATCATAAGTAATAATACATATTTCTCCCTTCATAAGTCTCGATTCTTAATTTTTTATACAATGAAAGTGGTTCAATTGTTTCAAGCTTAACATCGATTAATTTTTATGGCATTAAATTTCATTGAAGCTCCTTGATTATACTAAGTGAAAGCCGAAGAAATAGTAATTCAAGTAGTGTCGCAAAGATATTTCTGGGATGGTGGTTATAAATGCAATGGCCAAGCTCGTTTCATACAGTATGCTTAAATTAGAAAAAAAGAAGTCAATTCCAAACATCAAAATTTACATAAAAACCACTATCCCTACAACTAGCCTTTTTGAAAAATTGAGGACAGTATACACTAAGGTAGCCTACAGCTTGAATGTGTGTAAAAAATATGATTCTAAAATTTCAAATGAACTGGTTCAATAGAAAGTTATGGTGGGAAACAGAGTTTACTTTAAATAAACTGTTAACACAGAGATATGTCCTGCCTATTTGTTATTTTGATAATGCAAATGTTGAAATTAAAATAACAATACTTTAACATGTAGGTTATGCAAATATTCAAAGTCAATGAACAATGGCTAAAAGTACAGGGCTAAACAATCTCCATGGAAATGAGATGTGCCAATGCTAATACAACTGCATACCAAATACCATTGACTTTTCATAAGTCAAAGAAACCTAAACACAAACATTAACTTATAAACTAAGCAAAAGTTTCAAAGTCAATAGACCACGACTGAAGGGGCGGAGCCAAATAATCTCCATGGACATGAGATATGCCAATGTTTATACAACTGCATACCAAATATCATTGACCTACCACATAATCTCCATGGAAATGAGATATGCCAATGCTTATACAACTGCATACCACATATCATTGACCTATCATTAGTGGTTCCCCATAAACTGACCTAATCACAAACTAATACATGAAAAGTAAGCAAAGTTTCAAAGTCAATAAACCATGACTGAGGGGGCGGGGCCAAATAATCTTCATGGTAATGAGATGTGCCAATGCAAATTCAACTGCATACCAAATATCATTGACTTACCACTAGTGGTTCACCATAATTAACTAGACTTAATCACAAACTAATACATTGTTGACTCCGCCGCCGCCGCCGGAAACAGCATACCTATGTCTCGCTTTTTGACTCCGTCAAGGCGAGACAAAAAATTTAGTGCGTTACAAGTAAAGTGCATGCTTTTGTCAGCATGCTTTCATCTGGCACTGCAAACAGGTAGCTATCAAAATTCAGAGATTTTTTAGTCTTATTAACTTTAACCCCATATTTCTCTTCCACTAACGTAACAAGTTATAACCAACTTTTCATGGATTTATCTTTACCTTCATAAAAATAGGTTCCTTTCTGGCACAGATAGTACAGAATTCTGATATAAATCCAGCTCTGAGTGTAAGTATATCCTCCCAAGTCCATCGATTCTGACTTTCACCAAAGTATATACCCGATACTGGAATCATATTCTTTTGTATCAAATCAACAAGGTAGTTCTGGACTAAAAAATAAAGTATGACCATGAAGTCGAGTTTTAATCATTTTCAATGACGTGTGTTGCACTTGTTTAAATAATATATGTTAATTATAACACATCTACAAGTATATGTTAAAACAAGAGTTTGTCAAAAAGAAAATGAGTTAATCAGTATCATTTTCAACTTAAAACATACAACTGTTAACCAATCTTATTGCAAAATTGTCCAGGTGGAATATGGGGATATTTAAAGGTTTATATCTCCCTTAACTCAACCTATCACTTTGATTGCAAATATAAATGTCAGAGAATAATGCAATTTACAGAAAAAAGATATGTACATAAACTGAAAAAATAAACCTATTATTGGTAACCTTTTTACACAAGAAATTGTAACTTTAATGTTGTAAAAACACAACTGAAGAACTTTAAGTGTCAATAAACACAAAAACAAAACATTTTGTTTTTATAAACAGAATCCTTGAAAAGTGTATTTGGATACTTCTACATCAATAATTAGAGGAACATCAAAAATGGTTGCATTTTCTCCCAGAATAAGTGTTTTTAACATTTTCAGATTTGTGCAACTATGCAATTAATAAAAATGCTGTTTTTACCTGTTAAGAAATTACTGTGGATTCATTATTATTCGTGGGATACCAAATTTTGTTCATTTCCTTGCTATAGGTAAACCACGAATTTAAATGTTAAACGAAGAAGGAATTCTCTATTGGTGTGTATGCAGCCTTTTGCAAATGAAACAGATTCGTGTTTTGAACTCTTATGCAAATAACAGGATCATCAACTTAACAGGTATACACTTAATAAAAAGTAAGGAAATGTGGTATGATTGCCTATGATACAACTATCCACCTGAGTTAAAATATTGTGGATAAGAGCAATTATAGGTTACCATACAGCCTTCAATTCAAACAAGAAAACTAACAACCTAATTTATATAAACACTAAAGTATACTCCTATGTACTAACCAATCATAGCAAACAGTTGAATTGCCTCCCCTTGACATCCAGGTGGTCCCATAATATAGCAATGTTCATGTAACTCAACTTCGTTTAAATATGGCTGCATTTTACCATACAGTATACTAGGACCACTTAATGCCAAACAAATGCCAACCTAAAAAATATATGTGTAAACAATTGGTAACATAAAGACTAACAGTGGGTAATCAGGAATGCACTGGGTCCATGAAAATAAAAATTGCAAAGAGTCACAAGGCTAGGAACTCAACCACAATTTAAATTTTATCATGCAAATCATGATTTTGAAACTTTCCCAAAATGCATTAGATTTTGAAATGGAAAATTGCGGCACACATTCTGACTCTGGGTTAAGCAGTTTTTTGTTCATACTTTGCATGCTTAGTGAGCAGAAAAGCAGCAAATACATTAACTAAGATGTGGCTAGCAGCAGACTAATGAATTGTCAAACTTGAGGAAAGACAAAGTGGTATATATACTAAAACATGTTGTTTTGATTAAAAACTGACCCTGTATGGACCTTTTCTCTGTATGTAGTTCTGTTGTGTTAACATGGAAACAATCTGACTTAGGTTCATGTAGATTCCAGTGTCAAGAACTTGTAATGCACTTGGTGTTCCTAGAAATAAATAGTAAAATAATTGAGAATGGAAATGGGGAATGTGTCAAAGAGACAACAACCCGACCAAAGAGCAGAAAACATCTGAAGGCCACCAATGGGTCTTCAACACAGGGAGAAAATCCTGCACCTGCAGGCGGGCTTCAGCTGGCCCCTAAACAAAAATGTGTACTAGTTCAATGAAAATGGATGTCACACTAAACTCCAAAACATATAAATGAACTAAAATTAAAAAAACATGCAAGACTATCAAAAGCCAGAGGCTCCTGACTTAGGACAGGCGCAAAAATGTGTCAAAGAGACAACAACCCGACCAAAGAGCAGAAAACATCTGAAGGCCACCAATGGGTCTTCAACACAGGGAGAAAATCCTGCACCCGCAGGCGGGCTTCAGCTGGCCCCTAAACAAAAATGTGTACTAGTTCAATGAAAATGGATGTCACACTAAACTCAAAAACATATAAATGAACTAAAATTTAAAAAACATGCAAGACTAACAAAAGCCAGAGGCTCCTGACTTAGGACAGGCGCAAAAATGTGGTGAGTTAAACATGTTTTGTGAGATCTCAACCCTTACCCCCTATACCTCTAGCCAATGTAGAATAAACAAACACACAGCAATACACAAAGTAAAACTCTGTTTCAAAGAAGTCGGAGTTGGATGTCAGAATAGGTAACAAAAGAAACTAAGCAAAATGACAATGATACATCAATTACCGGTAACAAAGGACTACTAGCAGTTACTGACATGCCAGCTCAAGACTTTAATTAAACTGATTGAAAGATTATGTCTACATCATATGAAATTCAAGCACAATCCCTCCCATTAGGGGTTTAGTATCATACCATCATAAAATATATGAGAAGAACATAACCAGTATCATGCCAACAACTGGTTTTAGAATAAATGTGTTTATTTCCAATGCAAGTGACTAGTTACCATGGAAACATGTTAATGTATTGATAGCATCATATTTTCATGTAAATTAATTTTACTATTCAAGGTTTCTTTTAAGATATGAATCTATTTAATTTTTGCTTTATTCTTCTTCTTTTTATTTCTATTTACGACTTTTCAAACATTTGGTCACAGAACGATAAAAGAATTATTTCATCTTTTGTCATGCTGCAGCTTTTAATAGCTCACAATATGTTAAGGGTTTTGCTCATTGTTTAAGGCTGTAAAGTGCCCTGTAGTTGTCTACTTCCTCACCATTTAAGCTCCCATGGATATTTATCTTATTGGCAATCATACCACATCTCCTTTAAGTAAGTTCCATACTGCATTAAGTAAGAAATAGATTTTTTCCCTAAAAAAAATCTATTCTATTTTCATCATCACATAATACATGTAATAAGAGTCCAAATATTTTTTGTCGACCATACTTCAATTTAGATAAAATTAGGAACGATAAAATATAATGGTTTCTGTGATTTAGAATCAGCTGCTCTTTTCACAAAAAATCTTAAGAGTAAAAATACTCGTAAGTCATACACATTTCAGTATAACTTACGATCAATTTTAATCGTAAGATTTTTTGTGAAAAGAGTCGCAGGCTAGTTATACTGACCATAGGCATCAATTCCAGGAATGTTGTAAATAAAATTTTCTTTATCATCTAACTTGATATTTGTATTAAGGATATTCTCTGTAATTACTGAATCTCTCTCAAAACACAGGTCCATTCTGTAATTATATATGAACTATACCATCAAATAAAAATAGAATATTAAAATACTTCAAATTTTGCAAATAAGATGTGCGTATATTATTGCAAATGTTTGATAACCAAAACAATATAAAGTTTAATTAATAAAAAAAGAAAACAAACGAAAAAAAAACTATAATCTTTAAAGGGGCATTAGCTGTCAAATTCATATTCACAGATTTGACTCAAATTCTCATATTTGATTTATAACATACTAAAACGTATATCCAAATTACAAAAAGTCTAAAATAAACAATTAACAATGCATGGACTCAATAATATGTATCAACATTTCGTGTGTATTTTTGACTAGACACCATCTGATTAACCATTGAGATAACCTCTGAAGAATGCTGACAGTTATTAGAACCCGATATAAACATAAATATAAATATAAACAGATAGTGAACACGTGCAATTGGATTTTTCTTAGTCTGTTTGATTTCATATTGTAGGTTAAAAAGTATGTTTATCATCACTTTTACCTGTATAAGAATGAATTTTTGGATTGAATTAGTCAATCAAATGGTTCATCCTTGTTTCAATTTCAGTGTTGACATTCTTTTCCTTTTAATAGCTGAATACATGCATAAACCATGTCCAGCTAAGGGGTTACATTGAAGGTCACATGAATACAGATTGAATAGGTCGAATTATTCACTTGCAAGTGAATAATTCATCAGTGATTTTACTTACCGTTAAAAGGCTTGTATAGTCCACGGTTTTATTCTCCAAAATTGACCCTGACAGCAGGGGTGCGGACTATAGAGTACAATAAGCAAGAAATAAGAGAGAAAATTTCAATTTCGCAATGTGGTTTGTTTACGTTCCGCCATGTTTGTTATTGACATTGTAGAGGGCGCTCTTATCATTTTTCAAACCAATAATTTTACCCATTTCATATTAATAAGTTATTTTTATTCAATATCAAATTAATACTGAAAAATTTTAAAATTAAATGCTTCATTACAAAATTCTCATTTCTTTTCAATGCATTGCTAAATATAAACTGGTATCTGCTTGAATGAAATCGTACAAAAAAAGTAAAAAAAGACAACCGTGAACCAGCTTATGATGTGTAAACTACAAAACGTAATCGGTTATTATTCGTTCCGTTTTGGTGTTTCCTATTGACAAATATGTTTTGTATTAGCTTAAGACCCTTCAAACATTAATGTGATAGATATATTAAACACTGTTTTACATAAGGAGGGAACTGTTTTACTTTCAAAGTCGTATTATAGTGATATCTATTATGTACGGATTTCGACTCTCACCGGGTTTTTTCATCTTTTACACGTGCTTTTCAAACTTCCGGTTTAAACATACACACGTTTCTAAATTGTTTTTTGTGTGATTAAGACTTATTTTAACCAGGGTGAAGTGTTTTAGAACCATTTACAAGCAGTTTCAGCTTCTGTCGATAACGGTAGCTTATTTTGACAAAATTGAACCAAATTGGCTGCTAAAAGCGAATTATTGTTTCACTATTTCACTTTCATTAATGATTGAACAAAAAAAATCATATATTAATTTTTTTTATATTTCGTAGCTAATGCCCCATTAAAACATTTCACAGGAAATCATCTTTAATAAATCGAATGAATAAGATCAGGTGCTCCTTAAATAAAGCATATATAACATGCAGTTAATCCACTGTGAATGAACTTCTTAACTATGACAACTGGCAAACTTACGTGTCGTCAATCTATATATCAAAGCATTGAAATCTTGAATCAAATATATTACTATAAGTTTTACTAATAGGTATACAATATTCTCTCAATTTATTTGTTAATCCGTAACAATTCTTGTCCATTGTTGATATATTTAAAGTCTATCTGTAACAATTCACAAACCTCATAGCATTCTGTCTAAAGATTGTTGTTAGACGTGGAAATGGATTCGGAGGGAAAAACTCTGCTGTCACCAACTCTGTCAAGTACTTATGCCAGGATTCATCTAAATGTGTATCTATCATATACTGGAAAATATAGACAACAAAATCTCAAAAGATGCAAATAAAAAAGCCAACAATTTTGTAAACTGAGAATAACACATTTTTCTAATTTCAGTTGTGTTTATTTTTATTGAACTATCTATCTGTGAAACTTAATTGTTCATAAGTTGAGCAATTGAAAAGTCACATGTTGGACATATGGAATGAAAGCATTGTGAATATAGATTTTAGTTTTTTAAGTCCTTTTCAGAGAAGTATTCAAATATTCAAAAATACTGTAAGTTCAGAAATTATTGAGATTTTTTTATTCTTGAAAAAATTGAAATTATATAGACTTCACGAAAACAAAAACTTTCATCTTAAATTTTGATAACATTTTTTGTATGCAGTATTTTCCGAAATCAAAACATTTTTCCTCTGCTCAATAATCACAATTATAATAAAAGCATTATTTTTTTCATAATTTTTAGTACATGTATAACATAGTCACCTTTAATTTTGATTTAATCATTTTTTTCCTTTTTATCTTTTTGTTTTATCTATCAATCCATTGTATTTGAGTACATTCTTATTCTGACTTAAAGCTCTAAATTATAAGTTTTACTAGTTCTAGCAAAATTTGATTTTTAGATTTTACCACTACACCATAACCCCATACCTTAATGAAAACAGATTCCCTTGATATTGTCTTTGGAGCTGAATCTTTGGCCTCACATTCATCAATGTTAATCACTAAAATCAAAAGTTCAAACATATCAATAAACTTTGTAAATTTTGTTTCTCCATTTGTTGTGATTAGCATATTAAGATCATTGTTTTTATATTTTGAATTGTTTCACACATTTTTTCATGCCTGGGCCTTATATAGCTTTCTATACAGTTGAAAGCTAAAAAGTAATAGAAAAAATAAAATACTGTAAATTCATAAATTTTTGCAATGTTTTTATTGAATAATTATTATCCGACAGAACATGCATCTGCTTTAAAGTTATGAATTATGTAAACATTATGAATGTTTGACTGTTTGGCATCAAAAATTTGCTTGAGGGCAAGATTGGTGAGTCACAAAAGAAAACTAATTCCAAATAATAATGTTATTAATGGACAGCAGATCAACACAAATAACAAGTAATTAGATGATATGTATACAAACAAATATTTCTGGGTATGAGATCTCAAGTATTTTACAAAAGTGAAAATCAATCTGGCATGAATATGACATAACTGTGCATTTACAAACCTAATCTTTCATGATTTATAATATTTTCATCTTCTAAGCCATGTACAACATCAGTTTCCAGGTCAACTCCCTATAACCAGATAAATTGACAAGAATGTTGTTACTGTGGATAAACTTATTTTCATAGGTATCAAATTTGCCTGTATTGTATCACAGTTTAAACATGGAGCAGAATCTGTTTACTCTTCCGGAGCACCTAAGATTAAACAAGGATTTTGGCGGGGTTCTTGTTGCTCAGTCGTTGTTTTTCTGTTTTATGTTTTGTATACTGTTGTTTGTCTTATGGTTGTTTTCTTTTGTTATTTGGCATGGCATTGCCAGTTGTTTCGACTTATGAGTTTGATTATTCCTCTATCATCTTTCACCCCCCTTTTTTTTTTAACAAATTCTGCATACAAAGCGTATATTTTGTTGTGGTTATATTGCTCTTAATCTTAAATGTTTTGTTAACTGTTAATGCCTGTTTGTGTTTTTCTTTTCTTATGACCCTGTTGTTGTCGGTCTTTCATAAACTTGTCTTGACTTACTAATCATATTTTCTTCCTGTTTACAGCATCAATAATAGTGGATATGCTAAACTTAAAAATTTAGTAAGGTGTGTAACAGGATAATTCTTATTTTTTCTTTTTCCTTTTTTACTCCTTCTATCTGTTACTTGGTCTTTTCTAAAACTTTTCTTTTGACTAACTCTATTTAAAATGTCTGATTTTTCCAACTATAATGTAATGTAATTATGGTATTTCATTTAATGATGTTACTTGTTATATTGTATGTATGGCATGTACTGAAAATTCTACAGTGCATTTCTTAGGGAGATTGTTGAATGATACAAATGCAAGTTTTTGTTGTGTGACACATATCTTGTCACAATTTTGGCAATAATAAAAACTTCGCAAAATTTCTGAATTTACAGTCAATGCTTTTGTAAATTGAAAATAAAACCAAAAAACAGCAATGATGGATGTTGCAAATATCAGGCTCTTACCACAATTTTACTGGTGTTTTTTTTTTATATGGGAAGGGGATTTAATATATTGTATATCTGTACATACTGCTGGATCTTGTCTGTTCCTGTGTCTAGTTATAGGTTGTGGTATAACATCTGGGAATGTAGACTTCATGGTAATGAGAATATCCTGGAAATAGAAAAAAAATCCTAATCATTGTTAAAAATCTAAAGAGTTAGAAAGCCAAGAGCCTGTAATTCATTGGTTGTTGTTTGTTGCTGTATAACATATTGTTTTTTTTTATTGTTTTGTATAAAAATCAGGCTGTAAGTGGTCTGGTTTGATTTTTTTACATTTGTCATTTCAGGGACTTTTATAGCTTGTTTTGCTCATGATTATTGTTGAAGGCTGTACAGTGACCTATTATTGCTAACTTTTAGGTCATTTGGACTCTGGTGGAGAGTAGTCTAATGGCAAACATACCACGTCTTCTTATTCTTATACTTGCCAAGTAAAGACATAAGAATCTTTTTAGTATCAAATAAGATTCTGTTAACATTTCTGCCAAATAAATGTAACAATCAAATGTTTGGAAGGACATTCATTTTCATAAGAATTTTGTATTTATATATAAAAAAATTAATGATGGATAAATTCTTGGACAAACTTAAGACATTTTGTACAGTTTATGTTTTTCAATATTTCCTAATGAAAGTTTTTCATTTGGTAAAAATTTGTCAAAGGGAAAAATTATCTGCCTGCATCTTACTTACAATTCAAAATGTGTACATTGATAAAATATCAATTCTTAGCACTTGTAGTAATTGCAATGAATAATCTCACTATTATATACGGTAATCAGTGGAGCTAAAAAACAAACGAAACACTATATTCCTTCTCTATAACTGTTTGAATGAGGAGATAAATTTAAAGAAGATTATCATCCCTGCCAACCCCTACAAATTCAGGATAAAAATTGCAAAATATGAAACAAACCCTAATTTTTGAACAGTATAAATATCAATTTTACATTAAAAGGAACTATGAAAACCATCATGTTACTCATACCTTAAATATTGGACACCTGTTCAGACTATCTTCAGAGAGCTGTAGTAGAAGAGACATGCAGTACCAGTTCATATTCTTCAATGTCTTTAGTGCCTATTGAAATATTCCTCATCTTTAATAATGATTTATTAATACGCTATAAGGATCATTAGAAACAATATACGTTTATGGCCCGTTGAAAAGGTGAATATCCAAAATTGTCAACATGAAAAGGTCATTTCACTGAGGGCGCAGCCCGAAGTGAAATAACTTTTAAGGGTTGACAATTTTGGATATTTATCGCTTTTTAGGGGCCACAATTGTTTTATTATACCGAACTAACAGTGGAAGGGCATTTTGAATCATTGTAAAAGCACTTACCATTACTTGAGTCAGTAACAAACACAAGTTGACGTTCAAAAATACATGGAATTTGTGTCTTAGAATTCTCGTATGTACAACAAAGGTAGACTCTTTTTGTAAAATATTGATGGCCCTGAAAAGGACCGTTATTAGAGATATCATCGGCACAAGATGCACGTCAAAAGCCTTATTTCCTCTTATCTTGATCAATGGGCTTTCTGTAACTTGAACGTTGCCATTTTGTTTATTTACGTCTGTGGCGTTATTTTCATGAGTACAAATCAACAAACTAAAAAGGTTATTCGCCGGTGAATAATAGGGTTATTCAACGCTAGTGTAAATTTTTAGGGTTATTCGTTCTTCCTTGCAATTGAATGAAAATTAACTGAATTATTCCATGTCACGTGATAACGTTTTACCCAATAGAATTGTTTGAAATATATGTAAGGTATAATAATATATCTTATTTAACAACAGTATGACTACATAAATTTTTATTTTGACAGTGAAAGCTTTTATAAAAATTCCTAAATTAGCAGTCTTATGTTATGACAGTTTATGTACAGGTGTTAAGTGTTACAATTTGTATTTGATAATGTTACACATTGTTCAAATTCTATTGGATATTATTTTCTTAGGGTGATGTGATAGAATTCTATGTTTGAATATGAAATAGGCTTCATTCTGTGCATGTTCAATTCAACCAAAATGTACCATATCATTATGTGTTGTATCATCAATTAACTTAAATAAATATTACACTTTACACAATCGGTCAATAACTTTCACCCAAATAAATGTTTTCAAACATTCTGATTTCCTTATCAAACAAAACTCTCTGGCAGTTCTAGCTTCAATTTGCTTGTTTGGTGTGGAAGTTCACTCAGGAGGTTTACACAAGAGGCTCATGAGAGCCTGATATCGCTCACCTGGCTGTAACTTCAGTTTCAGGCATTTGACTTATTTGTAGATCTTACTTTGCTGAATAATTTTGTCATTTACACTTTCTCTCTTTCTATAATAATATTAAAGATAATACATAACCCAAAACTGTAAAATTTCCTAAAAATTAACTATTTCTGGACAGTTACCCAACAATAAGTTGTCCTATTGGTCTAAAGATTACTTTACAGGTAGATCTAATCCTGTTTAACACTTTCACCTATGTCAGTTTTGCTCTTACTGCTTTAGTTTTTGAGATGAAAGCCAAAAACTGTATTTGACCCCTATGTTCTATTTTTAGCCATGGCAGCCATGTTTGTTAATGGATCAAAACTTCGGATACAAATTATAAACCAGTTACCCTAAGGAACATTCAGTTAAAGTTTAAAAGTATTAGGCCCAGTACTTTCAGAGGAGAAGATTTTTAAATGTTAGCAAACATGATGAACAAATCGTGTAAAATTGTCTTTAATGGGCAATAACTCCTTAAGGGGTCAATTGACAATTTTAGTCATATAAAAACTTTTTTGTAGATCTTACTTTGCTGAACATTTTTGCTGTTTACAGTTTATCTTTATCTTCAATAATATTCAAGATAATAACCAAAAACTGCAAAATTTCCTTAAAATAACCAATTTAGTGGCATCAACCCAACAATGGGTTGTTCGATTCGTCTGAAAATTTCAGGGCTAATAGATCTTGACCCATTGAACATTTTTACCGCATGTCAGATTTGCTCTAAATGCTTGTTTTTGAGATAAAAGCCAAAAACTGCATTTGACCCCTATGTTCTATTTTTAGCCATGGTGGCCATGTTTGTTGATGGATCACAACTTTGGATACAATTTATAAACTAGATACACTAAGGAATATTCAGTTAAAGTTTGAAGGTATTTTGCCCAGTAGTTTCAAAGGAGAAGATTCTTGAAATAGTTTATGACAACGACAACGACGGACGCTAAGTGATGGCATAAGCTCACATGGGGCCCAGTTTTACAATTAAATCTTTATCTATGTACAGGTATTCAGACCTACCATTTGCACATGGTCATATGACCCAAATTGAATCATACTATTGGGCATGAGATCATCCAGCTGTGCTACAGTTACCTTACCAACAGTTATCTGCTCATTACTTCTCTCATATCTGTAAGAAATACCAAGAAGGATTGTAAATTTTACATTATCGCTATTTTGTGTATTTTTACTTTGATCTTTTTTTGTGATAATTTTTCATACAATGCAATGGCTTGAGATAGAAAATTATCTCTAGAAACTAAGGGTGCATGTGCCGTCGTCAATGTAAACATCAATTATGACATCATAGGCAAGCTATAAAACAGTATTTATTTAATTTTTTAATATTATGTCTAATTGGTATATCTTATTTCATAAAAAAAACATCTGATATCTATTATTATTGTATTATAGTATATGCATGACTTATTTGCATATGAATATCTGTCATTTTTTATGAAAAGAAATATATTAAATTGATATCACATAAACATAGAATCTATTATTTTACTGTAATAATAGTATTATTAAGAGGTGAGTTCCACTTTATGATTCTGGGATGAATAAATAATGTTACTCACACTGATGTTATTTGTGAGGTTTTTTTTCCTGTTAATACCTTAAACTATAAAAAAAAAACTTAAACTGTGATAAATGTGTTCATCAGCTATTTTTTCTGCTAAAATGTGCATGTGACAAAAGTTATCAGAATGAACATAAAAAAAACTACATGTACTTACAAATTACTTAGGAACAGATGAACAAATGATTCTCTGTATAATGCCAAGTATTCCCTCATTGGTCCTGTTTCTTGTCTCTAAAACAAAATATTATAAACAATATGGTTAAACTTATTGCTATCCCTTGTTGACCTTAAAAAGCATTCATTGTGGATTTAGGTTGAATATCACAGAATATCCACAATTGGCTGCTAATTTTGAAAAAAAAATAGTACAACAGCACCAGTAGCAGTTTCATATTTATCAGATAATGTCAAAACTACATAAATTTCTGACGACAATTGCAAGATGAAAAAGATCTTGGTGTCAACCAGTATTATCTTTGTTTGATGCTGCTTCCCAAACATGTAAACAGCAAACAAAAATTGATTTCTGTGTAACACCACATTCTTAACCTTTTAAAGTTTTATAGTTTCACCTTTTGTTTAAGGAATTATTTGGATTCTAATAGGACAAATACAGTATTTTAATAAATCAAGGCATACGAAAATACATTACAAATGTTTGGATGTTCCCATTTCCTCCCCATGAAGTTATACATCATATTTTCATATTTAAAAAGTTAATTAGAACACGGCTTTGCTTACAAAGCGAAATAACGACGTCATATTAGAATAAGTTTTTATGTGCTATTTAAAATAATCAAATATGTAGCATCAACAGTGGCACATTCAACTTAACAGTATAAGGGAATAGAAATGGAAAAAAAGTTTTTTTGGAGTAGTCATTAATGACAGCAGCATGTCTTAAACTTTATCTACAGTAATCACTGTTTCTCGAAATTTTGTTAAATCACTGCTAAAAATATATCAGTCATATCTTAGTATATTGTTTCTGATTAATTTATTCAAACTTTCAATGATTTAGGACTTACAGAATGAAAAATTATTTATTCACCTGTCTGTTGTTGAAGACTATCTCTATGTTGCCCTATAGATGTATTTTGGTTATTTGTGTAATGATTGACATGAAACTAATATCTCTTTTTATTCATGTAAAGCGAAAAGCTTTTTTTTTGTCTTACAATTAATCACAATGCATGAAATTGATGGTTTTAGTTTATGTTATAATAATGATCATTACTCACATTTACAAAAGCTTTGAGTATATAGCGTAAGGTTTTATTCTGTTCCATTATTAGGTATAATGACCCTGCAGTACTGTGGGTAAGCTTGTACAACTCAACAGTTAGATCTTTGTCATATGATTCTCTGTAAAAAAAATTAATACGGATAGAAAACTTCCATTTACTGATTTTTTTCTTTAACTTTCTGATGACTAAAATTTTTGTTAGAATTTGAATGCTGCATTTCACAAAACCTTTTGGAATTTTAGGTCCTGAATGCTCTTCAACTTCTTACTCTTAAACTTTTTGATTTGTGTGTCACTAATGAATCTTTTGTAGACAAAACTTGCATCTGGTAAACAAAATTTTAGGCCTGGTATCTATGAGTTTATTTGACAGATTTAGTGTTTAACATTGTATATGTTTTATATTGAATATCAGAGGCCTCTGTGGCCAAGTGGTCTAATTACTGTATCACTAGCCAGTCAACACTGAGGTTGTGAGTTTGAAACCACGCATGTGGCAGGTTTTTTCGACTCAATCTTAATTGACTAAGATTGTCAGTTTTCCTGACAAAGGTTTGTGGTTCTCTCCAGGCACTCTGGCTTCCTCCACCAATAAAAACTGGCCGCAACAAAAAGTAAAATAACAAAAATACCGAACTCCAAGGAAAATTTAAAATGGAAAGTCCCTTATCAAATGGCAAAATCAAAAGCTCAAACACATCAAACAAATGGAAAATAACTGTCATATTCCTGACTTGGTACAGGCATTTCCTTATCTAGAAAATGGTGGATTAAACCTGGTGTTATAGCTAGCTGAACCTCTCACTTGTATGACATTCATATAAAATTCCATTATACTGACAACAATGTGTGAACAAAACAAACAAACATAATACGTAAAAATGTCAAAAATAGGGGTACAGCAGTCAACATTGTGTTATAATATTATTTTAATCACTATAAAAACAAACAATATGTCAATAAAGAAAAATAAAATGGCATATAGACAAAGCACATAAGCAAAATAGCCAATAGTGCTGAAAGTGGCCTTAAACACTTATCAATAAATCAATATATTGAAAATTGTTAATTTTCAGACTAGTTACTCCAAAATGAATATAACATGTTTATTGTATATTTCTTACCTGTCCAGTAGCCATAACAGTATCCCACAAAGTACAGCTTCAAACAATTCTGCATGCATCTGATGACTGGCCATTTTCTTCTGTAAGTAGGCTCTGAAATATTCAATAAAAAATTAATATAATAATAAAAAAAATGTAAAGGGTTCTGTGGAACCTTGCCTGGGATGTTGCTGCCAGTGTAAAAGTGTAATGCTTACTGCCAAACTGCCAAAAAACAAAGTCCCTTATCTTAAAACATAATATTGACCATTCAAACTTTTTAAAACTGAAAACTTACTTTGAAATTGCTGTAAATCATATTTAAGTATGGTAGTAAACACTTTGTCTACGACCATGCTGTGAATTCACAATATTTAGCAATGTTTTAACATTTTGGTATTTTTTCCTGTGTATTACATTTGATGTTCTTTGCAAGTATCTATCATATATCAAATATTTTTTTTTTTTTAATTTAATTAAAACTGAAAAATCCATTTAAAAAAATTAAACTTTGTTAATGCAGACAAAAGACTATTTAGTCATAGCATTACATATAAATAAAAAATATATTCAAACAGTTAATTGTTCATTAAAAGGTGCTCTTAATTATTCAAATCTGCTCACCCTTGCAGATATGTTGCAATTTTTTTTGCAAACGGGTATGAGGGAGAATATCAAATTCTCCCCAATTCAGTCTGATTCAATTTCTGTGATATACTAGTAAACCAAGTACCAACTCAATACTCTCTCTATATATGTATTGATATCAACATGATTAAGAGATAAAGCTGAATATTTAACAAGGCACCCAATAAATAATAAGCTTTCCTAACACATAGTATATGGCAAATTCAGGGTTCACTACTGAAAAATTTTCAAGGGTGGAGCTTTAGAATACTTATTCTAACCACTGAAAAATATACTATTCATAAATTTTATACCTTCAGAAGTTATCTTAAATACATACATATGTAATATCTTAATTTTATGACAAAAAGTTAAAACTTTATTATAGGCAACAATCTATAAATAGCCTGGGGTGATCCCTTCCAGCAACAATTTCGTAAACCCACTTACTTAATAGGTGTAGTGATCTGCCATGCAAAGGGTCCATACGATGATTCATCACCAATACGGAACCCATCTATTCTTACTTTCTGCGGTTTGATATGGTCCATTCTGTCATATACATGCTGTTGTATACGAGTGAGATCATGGCCCTGAGCTGATGAGAACTTTCTATTTCTGCTATGTCCTGTTATTTGGCTGACCCGACTGTGTGCTCGACTGGGTGCATGACTAGTTGGTGCTCTACCTCTGGCCTGTCTGCTCTGTGGTACTTAAATTATCAAATTTGAATTTGAAAGAATTATATTGTTGATCAAGTCATCCTTACTTTATACCATAGAAATATTTCAACATTTCTACTTACCAAACTGAATTTTCCTTTTTATATCCATTAAAATGGAAGCAGGTATACAATGGGAAAGTCTTTTAGTTACAGGATTGCATGAAATATCAACTATATCAACACATCTTATATGAATTTGTTCTGATTGTTAGAACTGTTTGTTTTCATTGGCATACACATTTTAGTCTATTTATATACCTGCATCTATGACAATACATGTACATCTATATATCAAGAATATGAGTGCATGAGCTGGGTCCTCAGTAATAAACGTTTTCTCAGTACCAGGAGTACAAATTTTTGCTCAAAACCAAATCGTGTATTTGGATTGGTTGATTTCTAATTCTTAGAATGATTATCGTGCTTGAAATTTTTATGACCACAAGGCCTGCTGTGACTACCACATTTCTATGTTTGGTGAGTCAAAACCCATATTTGGCATATATGTTATAAAGTTCACATCATAATCAACATGACTTATGTACTAGGTTCAAGTTGATGTGACAACAAAAGACATTTAAAAAAATAGTAATATTAGTTAAAACTTCTGTCCATGTTACTATGTTACCTTAGAAATAAACATCGTCCTTTTTATCATATTGTTGTGCTATCACCATGGAGATACTTACAAGGTGACCTTGGTGTCTGATCATCATACTGGTCTACTGTTGGTGAGAAGATGGACAAATAAGCTTCTGCATGAGTTGCATTTAGAAATACTCCTTCATGTAGAGAGGCCATGGGATACTCAGCAAAACTCTGCAAACTATACAGAATAAAACAATGTTATTCTGTGAGGAATATCATTCAAGAGGCTGTGTGAAGATTTTAATATCATTACTGTATTATGTGTCATGTTAAAAAAACCTATGCTACATTACTTGATTAGGTAAATAATAACAGAGATATGTCTCGCCTGTAGGCATAAAATTCAGAAAAAGACAATCAGATGGACATTAACATTGCTAATTAATTCAAAGTCGCTGGACCATGAACAAGTGGGCAGGGCCTCGAAATGGTCAACAAACTGAGATGTACAGATAGTAATGTAACTTTATAGAAAATATAATTGTCTATTGTAAGTAGCTCCTATCAAACTAACTAAAGCAGAAAACTTAACATTGAAAACTCACTTAATTGCTAATAATACCTAGGGGGCAGGGCCTCAAAATAGTTGTCAAACTGATATGTACCAATAGTAATGCAACTTCATACAAAATATCATTGATCTACCACAAGTAGTTCCTATCAAACTAACTTAAGCAGAAAACTTAACATTGGTAATTAATTCAAAGTCAATGGACAATGACCTAGGGGGCATGGCCTCAAAATAGTCTTCAAACTGATATGTTCTGATAGTAATGCAACTTCATACAAAATATCATTGATCTATCACAAGTAGTTCCAATCAATCTAACTTAAGCAGAAAACTTAACAATTGTCGATGCCGTCGTCATTGTCGCTGGAAAAGCAATCCCTTTGTCTCACTTTCCGCGACTTTCATCGCATGCGAGAAAAAATAAAAACAAGAATATGTGTTCAAACATTCAGAGATGTCACAAGAAACAATTCCAAATTTTCAAAGAAAATAAAAGAATGATGAAGGCAAGCAGAAGGAAATTCTAGACAAGTTGTCTTCCTTACAAGCATTCCAATCACTGTGTTTTCTTGTGAACATATAACAGAGAACTCACCCTTCCTCAATCAGGTCATCTTTTATCTCCAAGAAGTTTAAAGAGAATTGGATTGTACCCCTCATGTATTGTGGATGATAAGGGCTGATCCTCAGGACACACTCCATGTGAATGTATTTATTATTGACTACTGTATCACTTACAATCTGTAGAAACTCATCCTACAAAAAACAAAAAACAAAAATTAATAATTGTAAAATTAAACATAAAGCCTAGAACAAGATATTGATATTCTATAAAAGCAGCAAGTAATAATTTTTCCTCTAAGACATAAACATGGAACATAGTCAGGGCTATTCCATTCAAATGGATGTGGGAGGTAGGAAGGACATTTTTGTTTTTTCGATATGGGTCGAGGGTTATTTTTTTTTTTATTTGATTTATGCAAAATACTCATTAGAAAGTATGTTGATTGTAGAGGTATTATGAATTCCATTCCTACCCACCCACATCTGTTTTAATGGATTATCCCTCAAGGGTGCCAATGTTTGTTAACATCTTAGTGCTTCTAACTTTAAACAAAATATTTTTTGTCTCATTCAGATGATCCACTGCATCACTTTTTTTTCCAAATGGTTGCTGCAGGGCTTCATAGTACCATGGCAGCATTATGCTATTTGAATGGAATTTATAATAGTATGTATCATAAATATGGTGCTATATTTTTACAGAAATTGCTGCTTTCAATTTCATGGTCTTGTTCAAAAATACTGGGGAGGAAACTGTATTCATATATATCAACGAGCACAAATATTGAATGATACATTATCTGTTTTCCCTCTGTCTATATCAGTCTCCTCAGCTCTTCATAAAATTGCTTATTTTTCTTCCCTACTTTGAGACATGAGTAGAACTTATCAGCTATGTTGCAATGTGTGAAAAGTAGTCATCAGGAATGTCAAACTATTCCAGCAGAACTCATCAATATAAAAATAAGAAGATGTGGTATGATTGCTGATGAGACTACTCTACATCAGAGACCAAATAACATTCACTTTCTTTGGGACAACAAAGCATAAAACTGTCTTAAGAAACAAAAAACCCAGAATTCGTGCAAAAACAGATTTTCTGGATTCCTCCATTTAGCATAGTAATATTTTAGCAGCTCAACAAAATGTGAAGCTTTTTTTGCACTTTCCTAGTGCTCACTCTTCAAAAAGATTCACATTGTGGCAACTACTGAATAATGTTTGAACCAATGTCAATATCTGACCCCCAACTTATCCAAAAGCTTCATATTGTGAGCAGGTAGCTGATATCTAACAGCATCAATATGCACAAAACCTGATATTTTATACATACCTTGTCTCCTTGTATTCTATCAGGGTCCCAGAACTCAAACATTATTACATCAGGGTATTCTTCATTAGCGTAAGGAATGTTTATACCTGAAATAAAAAATACTGTATCAAACGACTATCCCTCGTATATATGACAATTCCACAGTATACAAATTTGACTTATACTGGCCTCACACAATTACCTTCAGGTTTCAGTTAAATTTGATAAAATCTTTTGCACTGTTAAATTGGCATTTTTAGGATTTTTTATCAGTGACAATGTGTTCAACAAACAGTTATCCTTCCATTTGCTAGCTTTTTCAATGAGAACATGTGATGAGCATGCAACAGCCTTCTGAAAATTAATTGTTGTCTTTCTTTTCTCCTGTTACCAGTTTGTTATTTCACCAATTATTAATTCTGTCATGCATGTTTCTTGTTGTATCCCTTATCACAATTGTCCAAGATTATTAGTAACTTTTAGTTGACTGGAACAGTTCTCAATTCATCATGATTATACATATATTTGTATATGTCTGGTGATTTCAATACTTATATTAGGTATTACTTATGTCAGATGCAAGTGTACAGTACGGGTTTTGCTCATTGTTGAAGGTTGTATGGTAACCAATAGTTGCTAACTTCTACGTCATTTATTTGGTCTCTGGTGGAGCATTTTCTCATTGGCAATCATACCACATCTTTTTATTTTTATATGACAACTCAAGACTTATCCAAACAAACAACTTCAGAGCAATTAATACAGCAATTTTGTTTTTGATTATCTAATACAGCTTGTGAAATCATATTGTCATCAAGAGGGACATAGTTCATTCTGAGAATGGGGCATTATAAGTAAAAAATATTTATTAAGTTAATGATTATGATAATGATTATAAAAAAAGGAGATGTGGTATGATTGCCAATGAGACAACTCGCCACCAGAGACCAAATGAAATAGATGTAAACAACTATAGGTCACCGTACAGCCTTCAGCAAAAAGCGAAACCCAAACTGCATAGTCAGCTATAAAAGGCCCTGAAATGATAAATGTAAAATAATTCAAACAATTCCTTATAACTCACCCAACATGATATGTCGTGGATTGCTGTACATGCTGTCAATTTCTGCCATAATGGAATTTACAAATATCGACACACCCTGGAAACAATAAAACACATCACTTATGAACAGTAGACTATAAATTGATAAACACTGCATTTAATATCAATTAAGTTCAAGGCCATTTTCTCTATTCTGTATTTTTAGGTTTAATCCACCATTTTCTACATAAGGGAATGCCGGAACCAAGTCAGGAATATGACTGTTGTTTTCCAATTGTTTGATGTGTTTGAGCTTTTGATTTTGCCGTTTGTTAAAGGACTTTTAGTTTTAAAATTTCCTTGGAGTTCAGTATTTCTGTTATTTTACTTTTTACACTATTTATCATATTTAGCACCTCATTATACATGTTATACTCTCTTCTTTATTTTTTTGGCCAATTTTTCTCTATTCTCGATTTTTTCAACCATTATTCTCTATTCTATCAACTCCATCCATATCCTCATTAATCATTCAGGTCAAACCTTACCTGCTGTACATCTTCCCCAGATATCAGGTATTCCTTCCTAATGGTTACACTGTGGACTTGTGGGAAAAATGTTCCATCAAATACACATGATCCTACCAGTGCTAACATCACTTGATTCTAATGAACAAATAAGTACATGGACTATGTAATTCAAATAAACTATTACAATTCTTCCAATATGACAAAACATTTTGCCATTTAGAATAATATAAGCACATGACTAAGTTTAAATATTATGAGTAAACAATTTCATGATTGAACAAGAGGCAATTGACAATTTTTGAACCAGTTTTCTAATAATTTTAAGATGCTATTTTGTATGAAATCTTGACACTTTATTTAGGCATTCAAATGTTTTCTTTCTGTGTGATGTAACCAGCTGACATGATTGCCTTCTTTTTTGCCTTATGTCTTCCTAGAGATTTTTTTTTACATTTTTACTACAGTAAGCAATTCACAAAATATTAATAGAGAGAAAAAATTGTATTAAATTTAACATATAGGGGATAAAATAATATTTTGTTTGTCACTCACAGTATAATCACCAGATGATAAAACATCTTCAGGATGGGGAGTGAGGTCGTCGAGCAGCCATTTATATTTAGACAAAGCCTGAGGATTGATGACCTTGAGGATACTAGACAAACCCCAAACAGTGTTGTGGTTCTTAATAGTAAACAGATATGGCAGGAATGTTTCCTTCATCGCATTTCCTGAAAACAAAAAAAGTGATTTTTATTAAACTCTTTTTATCACAAATTCATAGAATTGTATCATACTTTGACAAAATGTAGTATAAATTTTAATATATTTATCATGTTTATATTTATAACAAATATTATAATAAAAATCATCAGTAACCGCTCTTTTTTTCAATTTACAGGATGTGAAAAAATGGCACACTTTATATGAATTATACAGATAATCTATTATGTGAATAGAAGGTAAACTAATTGATAGAATTTTAAAATAAAATATGAGAAGATAGTTCCTATAAAATGTTTTCAGAATATCATCAGAAAAAATGGAGTCACCATATGTTTTTACTGCCTATATTATAAAACAGATTCCGTTATAAAGTATAGAATTTCAAAGTTACCTCCCCTTAATACCCTAAAATAAATAAAATCAATATGAAGATATCACAGGCAATTAATTCTTTCAAGCAATTTTGTCAAATATTTATATTAAGATACTGGAATGTCAATATTTTACACAAATATGCCAGATAAGGCTAATCTTCATTATGAGTATTTGCACATGACTGATTCAAAAAGTCAAAATAATCGATTCAAACAGAAATGTTCAGGACCATCTTACACAACAAGGTGTTAAAACACCAGTCTGAAGGCCCTTCAACTTACACTAAAGCCTAAAACTTAAAAAATGTCTGCACAGGAAGTGCAGGAGTTCTTGATTTTGATATATAACAAATAAAAAAGACATAAAATTGAACTATTTAAAATGTATTTATCCAAGACATTGGTTAACAAGGTTTTTCTCTATCCGTAAGTTAGGCCTAACCAGTTTTCTTTTCATTCAGATAAAAACTCTATATATCATAAAAACTCACTAAGTTTATGATGAATTTTCTCCGCAGACTCTTGTTCCATGTGAAATCTGAAAATAAAAATATGTAAATTGTCAAAACTCCAATTTATGTTTACAGAAACCTTTCACAATCCATATTTATTTAAACATGCTTTCAAAACTTTAAAGCTGTTAGGGATTGATTGCTCAAAATATAGATTTACTAATCACATTCTCTTCAAAATACCTGTACCTCAAGTTATAGTCATCAATTTGTTTTATCAGTTGAGTGCTTATGGGTGCATTTGTAATTTATAAATGATTTTGGATTCCCTTATTTTACCTTTTAAATTTTTCTCTCAACAAAATGTTAGAGCCTTAAATTATGTACAAAATCATTCATTCTTCACAAATTTAAACCTTTCCCCTAAGGTTAGTTATCTTTAAATATTCACTGTGTGTGGTATATGTTAGCTTGATCTCTGATCTTTATAAATCATATTTCAATAAAGATGCTAAATTTCCATACTGTTCTCTTATTTCACTATAATAATGTCAGAAAACATAAATACCACTTTCTCCATGATTCACAAAATATGCCCTATCCAATACTTAATTCTATATCATTACAAGTATGCCTACTTTTCACCAAACTGTCTGAACCTATTAACAAACCCAGGATAAGGGTTATAAGGCAGTTCATTCCTGTCCAGTAAAAGTTTAATCAGATCCTTAAAGTTTTGCTCCAATCCGGTATTATCCAGATAATCCCTAAACTGTCTGATAGTGGGCGTGTCATATCCTTCTGGAGCCTGGTAGGTTTGTCGTGGAATAACTCCTCCCTGAAAAATAAAATCTACTTCTTAGTTTATTCAAACTTTCCAGGAAGGGTTGATAATTTTATGAACTTCAAAGTCAAACCAATAGGTTGCATGTTCTCAGTTTTTCATTGGTCACAGTTTTATAATGATTGCAAATGCTTGGCTTCCTCTGATTTGACAACCAATCATCATTAAGTCTCAATGAAAAAATTATTAGAAACAGATTTCCCCATTGTATCTCATGCAACATGTACAATACAATATGTCACCATTCTCAACATTAATTTTGGTAAAATTCATTCTTAGCTGATTTATACTTTTATTGCACGATTGAATATTTTTGTATTATTAATGTGTGGTTAATATCAATTTCATTGGTAGAAATTTGTGACATCAAAATGTCATGCTTTTCTACAACCATATCTCTATTTCTGTCTCTTTAAGGTGGATCATCGGTATAAATTTCCTCAGATAGAATTTTCTTATACTTTCCCAAAGTGAAGATTTTACTACGCTTTTTTCAAAAATATAATAAAAAGTATGGGTCACCGTACTATTTTTCAAGCTACAAATAAACAGTCTTACACATAAATTGCAAATCTGTCTCAAAATTTGCAGATTTAAGCAAAGAACTAGACCGATTATGTACTGCTATTGTACAATCCAAGATGGCAGTATACAGTGAATCTACCTTAAGTGTTAACCTACCTCAGAACCAACAGATCCTTCTGATGGAGCTGGGGATTCTCGACGTCTAGGGAACTTCCTGCTCCCAGGTTTGTATCTTGCTCCAGACTATAAGAGAAGGCAATTGATAAATATAAAGTATAAACTTCAAAAATATGAATAGAAAGAAATATCATTGAGTTGACAATGAATTTTTTCGTCCTGAACATTAATAAACAAATCTAATATTAAATGTGCATATTATTATTTAGTCAGTGTGAATAGAAGAAAACAAACTCCAGTTACTTATATCAAGTTATTGTTTTTGTTTGTTTAATTTTTTTACGTCCTGTTTTTCTCTAAATGATAAAAAAAATTGTGACAAGGAAACAAACAAAAAAAGGATGTGTAAACCTCTAAAGTCAGTTATTAGAGACTGGTATCTTGTTAAAGTTCAGTTCAACATGTTCCAGCAACTACTGAAAAAGTCATTATACAGAAATCATTTTGGGAATTTGTCAACTTACCATGGCAGACTTTTTTTAGTACTAGTATTCCTTACTTTCCATCATCACTGTTATCAACTGTGATCATTCCTATAAAAAACAAAAGAATTAAAGTTTATACCATTGTACATGTTGCAGTTAAAGAAACATTAATTCAGAGCATTTCATGTGAAAGAGAGGGGAAAGATATGAGAGCAATCTAATTAAAATTAAATCTCTGCACTCGCTCATTTATTTTACGCTTGGTCCCACACAGTGACCAAGCATAAAAAAATGAGCGAGTGCAGGGATTTAATTTTAATTAGATTGATACGAGAGGGACATTCAAACTCATAAGTCCATGCAAGGCTAAACAAAATGAAAGTTATACAACAGTCTTTTCTGTTTGTGTTGTAAAAATATAGATTTAGTCAAATATCCCTCGGACATCCAACAGGCTGCTTTGGAGTCTTGTTTAGGCTGTGGGACTATAATAGGCCATACAATTAAGTAAGAGAAACGTCAGACTAGCTGTCTCTATGGTCTTGCTAACATAAACATGTTTACCCCCAAATTTATCCTTTCAGGTGGTAGTTAAATTTTAAAACATCTAGTGAATAAATATATTGTTATTAACAGTACATTAAAGTGGAAGCATCTGTTTTCCTTAAGCTATAATGACTGTGAGGGAAGTGCAATATTTTGATATGATGGGATATTCAAATTACACATGACTTTCAACATATGGTGTATCGAATTTATCAGACTTATAGTTCAAAAATTGAGTTCTGGTTTAACCCTCTTGCTCCTGCTAATTTTATATGGTTGCATTTCGTGTGCCAGAAAATATGACACCTGGACATTTGAGACGTCATGCAATATATGACGTCAAGCCCTAATGACGTGACATTTGGGACCCATTGAGGAAAATATTACACTGTTTAATCTTTGGTTTTTTATTTTAAAGAGACACAGAAATGGTTAGAAACTTGCATAATTAAACATATGGAAATATGTGTCCCTCCAGCACAGCCGGTGTGGACACATGTGTCCCTCCGGTAGCAAGAGGGTTAAATGCTCATAATTAGAGAAAGTCATGTACCCTCTTTCACTGGTGATACCTGAATCATACATCAAGGCCCTGACATGCCTTAAAACTTTTCCAGTTGCACAGTTTTGTCTGACTACTCAAAAATATTTTTTAGAAGGTGTAAAATGGGGCGTGTTTTATTGGTCTCTTCTGTACATCTCCGGAATGTCTTCTGGTGACGAGTCCAAGAAAATGAATTTGGACCTTTTCTGGAGATATTCTGTAGAAGAAGCATTTTAACAAAAAATTCAATTTGCTGTCGAATATAGCAGAATTTTTTTTATGTTGGATGACATAAATGAAGTTTACGATGATTTATTAGAACATTAAGATACGTCAGTTCCGATTTGGTATTATAGACAGGACTGTAATAGTGTGCTTTGTTTTGACATTGATGTAATTATACAATAAGTGTTAAAACAAAGAAAATTGGTTGGAAGAAATCGCTATGTTCGTGACATTTTTTCTTTATGCTTTCCTAACTCAATTTTGCTAAACAAATCCTGCTTAAATCCCCGACCATTTTCAGGAATAATCTCAAACTGTACAAGAATTTGTCTATGTTTGTCTGGTATATGATTGAAAAGGACATCTTGTATATCAATTTTTTTTTAAAGTAACCAAACTAGATTATTTTTGTATAAAGCAAAGACATCGCAGTGTTCTCAAAATCTTTTTTTCCCTGTTGGTCCTTGAAGAAAATCTGCTGGTCCTAACTATTATTTCTATTGCAAATTTTCGATGGGCAAAACCTTTGGACCGCCACTTTTCGAAAAAACCTTATTTGTATTTAAACATGTATACAAGCTATACAAGGTCATGGCATTTCTCAGACTGTTTATGACTAAATCTGTTGGTTGTGTACTGAATGATAATTTAGTCTGGGAGGACAAGATTTATTTCAGTGTTAGTTGTAATTAGCTTTGAACAAACTTTCAGTAACTAAATAAGTGCAAATACTATTATTTCAGTGCTTTGTGTTTATGCGTAATGATGTACATTGTACATACGGGTCATAGAAACAAATCTATTTTTAGAACAATTTGTTCTAATTTTGTATCCCAGGTAAAGGAAATGTCGGTACGCAAATAAACTAAAACAAAATGTGTTAATAAATTTAATTAATAGAATACAAAATACAATAACATGAATAACACTAGACTTATAACTTTTATTAGAATAAATCAACATTCAACATGCTGTAAGTGGATAATGGCCGTTCATCTTTCTTCAGGGATGTCCTTTACTGTCGATGTTATTTGACTCCGTAATTTGGCATTTCGAATATAAGCATACTCCGCTTAATTGCATAATTTTGTCTGACAAATAGGCTATGCAATTAACCTGAATCAACTGTATCTTTTTTTTCCGTCAAACCTTTGTAGAGACAATCAGCCATGAAAAACTGTCTGCCATTTTCACATGTTTACTTCTTTACGTTCCTTAAATCAGAAGATAAAAACAGAGAACTTTGAATATCGATTAACTGCGTCTCTTACACGCTTTCTTTTAATCTTATTCACAGTTACTTTCAAACGCAAAGACGACGAACATTAAGTTTTATAAGATGACGGAGCGGACACGAAAAAATCGGAAAAAAAAATCTTCAAAAAAAATGGCAAAAAAAGAATTTGAGTCGGCGGTTTTTTTTTGGGTCGGTCGCGTTTGGCCAAACATACAATATTTTTATTTTGGCCCCAGTTAAAGGGAGGGTTGAGCGCTCACAAACATGTTTAACCCTGCCATATTCTTTATGTGCCTTTCCCAAGTGAGGAGCCTGTAGTTCAGTGGTTCTCGTTGTTTCATGTCTGTCAACTCATATTTGATTTTTCGTTTGAATTGTTTCACATTTTTCATATCGGGGCCTTTTATAGTCGACTATACGGTATGGGTTTTTGTCATTGTTGAAGTCAGTACGGTTGCCTATAATTGCTTACATCCACTTCATTTGAACTCCGGTGGATATAGTTGCCTCATGGGCAATAATACCACATCTCCTTATTTTTATATTATATACATGACTTTTAAACTTGTGTTTTCCTGAACATGCATGAAATATTTGTCACTGGGCGTTAAAAATAAGCAACCAACAATCAATCAATTTAAACTTGTGTTTAATAAGCCTATAAGGGGAAAACCTTTTAATATTTATTTTTTTGGGGGTGGGTGGGAGATAGGAGGATTTTAATATGAATATGGTGGCCTGGTAAGAGCTGAAAAATAGGCATGATTAGCGACAGATTAAAATAAATGGTAAATCCGCAAAAAATCCTCCACCCCCTCCCCAGAATACCAAATAGTCGTCCCCTTACTGTTATTGTCCATGAAGTTCTTATATTTTTCTAGCTTATCGTCCATACAGGGCTGTCCTACTAAGGCTGCCAAAACGTTTATCACACAGCTCACATTCTATTTTATCTGCATTCATAAATTTATTATTTGCCTCTGCCTCTAAACTACCTATTTAAAAGGAAGAGGTAGAAGAGAGCCAGAAGATCTTCCCAATGCAAACAAACAGAAATGGACCTCTTCTGGCTCACTACCGAAGAACAAAACAACACGCCCCTGGTAAACCTGGGACTACATGTAATAGATAATGTATTAGTCCCAGTGATAAACTTTTAAGCAATATAATTTCTGCCATAAATCAAGTTTTTGAAAGAAAACCCTATTTGTCATATACCTGGCTTTCTTAATATAATGTTTAACTATAATTGTTAACTGTACATGGCAAAATGTATTTCAATGTATGGAACAACTGTCGTGTTGTTACTGGAATTTGGTTTCAAATGTAAACAAACTGCAGAATGATTTTTCTAAATCTATTCTGACAAGTTCCGACCTTTGAATTAAAAGTGTTTAAACTTATGTTTATTTAATTTTCTTGTTTCAATCTTAAATATCTCGATTCTATATTCTTTACAGACAGATGATTGATACACCATTAGTCCATAAACTAATGTTATTGATAGACGGAAGATTGTATTCTAACCGGAAAAGTATGACATAATTTGTAGTGTAATTATAAACAAAGAAAATGGCCGCCTCCAGAGACCATGTGTCTACAAAAGTTATAAAATCTGTGAATAAATCAAGCAATGAAAAGAGAGTAATTGTGATTTTAGAACGAGCATCTTTAGAATCTGTAAAGGTTAATATAGCATTTATAATTCATTTTCCTGTTCACATTTTAGCAGCAAGCATATCCGAACAGTGAGGGATACAATTCTGTTAATTTCTACCATAATTTCCTTCTTTTCCACTGTCAGTCCGAAATTCTCTCTCTTCATTCTTTCACAATTTCTGACCATTTTCCCTTTGTGAGAAGCCTCATTATTTATAATTGACTTTCCCTGTTTAGTTGTTTCGATCAGCTATCCAATGGAATATGGGACAACTCCAATAATTTCAAAAATATTTCAAGCGCTCACTCCAAAATGTGGCAGAATAGTCAACCAGTTGACGGTGGCCGCTTACAGGAAGAAGAAGAAGAAGAACTCAGATCAACTTCTAACATGTTTAACATGTCAACGCTTACGAGACGTTTCGGCCATAAACCTGTTCAGCCATATGTTGTTTAGGCCATATCCCAGTTCGGCCTTGGTCGTTACGGCCCATCACACATTTTTCTTAATGTCTGTTTCTATCAATGTTGTAAATAAAATAATAAGAGGTAAGTAAGTGAATAGACTTTCTTAGTAAAGATAAATACGATGCAGTGTAAGGAAAATGTCACAGCAGGTAGAGCCAGGTAAAGAACTTAGCCGAAAATATTTGACAATGTATTGTTCGCTATTCCTTAGAAGTGACGTATATACACATACATGTATGTGTATATATGTCTCTGTCCTTAGTTTGTTGTCTTTATGTTCATGATGTTGTTATTCTATAATTTTATTTAGAATAGAAAAATGTATGAAAATCTGATATACAGACGATTCTTTTAATGTTATGTGTCGTCTTTTGACTTTTCTTTAAAAGTAATGCATTTTTACATTACCTTAGTCATGTTAGTGAATAGTAGTATTTAGAAAGTTGAACCTGTTTGACAGACATATTTCTTTTTTCCGACTGTTGATAATACATTTGATATTTTCACAGATTTTGCATTGAATTGTATTTAATTGCTTTAACCAGAGACATATAATACAAAAGTTGGTATATTTATTTAGATAACTGACATGATTGGATTAGCTATGTGATAAAATAAGTGTCTAGGTGATTGACAAAGGCGTGTGTTGTTATAAACCAATCCACTTGTAAAAAATAAATTTGATCATTTGAAAACAAAAAATAAAAGACAAATAAATGAAAGTATATATAACAAAGCTATTTTTATTACATTGCTGAAGTGGTACATGGCCGAAACGACCAAGGCCGAACTGGCTCCATGGCTGAAACGTCTTGTTTCCAAGTCAAATCCTACCATCAGGTACAAGTCAAATCGGCACCTGAGTAGTCCTTTTCACAAAAAATCTTAAGTGTAAAATTAATCTTACGATAAAAATATTTAGTTGAATTGTTAAGGAATATTTTAGACTTACGATAAATTTTACACTTAAGATTTTTTGTGAAAAGAGCTACTGGTTATTTCAGCACCTACAGAAAAAGTCAAATTGGCACCTATTTAAAGTCATTTGGGCATTTAGTTGGTATATTTGGCACCAAATAATAATTTTCACCTTTTTCTGCTTTTTAGTGTCTCAGGCTGTCATATGTTCAACTGGATTTCCTGGAAAACTTTACTGTATTTCCAGCTTTTGAAACAAAATGAGTTTAAATTATGTCTAATGAAGTTTGAGATTTACATTATGATGCCCTAGGTTATAAATTTTACTTCATTGACAGTTTTATAACCTGAAATTAAGGAAATTATCCAAACAAAAAGAAAAACCCATGCACGTCATAATTAAATATTTCCATCTATGAAATAATTTAAAAAAATATTCTACTGTTTTTATTATACGCCCGTCAAATTTTTGACGGGACTTATTATGGTATACAAATGTCCGGCGTCCGTCTGTCTGTCTGTCTGTCCGTCTGTCTGTCCGTCTGTCTGTCTGTCTGTCTAGGGTAAACATGTCGCACCGTAACTTGAGAATGACTTATCCAAATTTATATTAACCTTAAGATCTGTATACTTTTTGGTGATGATTCAAAATTTTATTTTTGAGTTATTGAGTATTTTGTAAAAAAAGGGGGAGGGGTTTTTCACATGTCGCGCCGTATCTCAAAAACGATTTATGATTATTGCTTAAAATTTTACACACTTCTTAGTTATATTAATTTAAAGATCTGTATTCTTTTTGGTTTTGATTCAAAATTTTATTTTTGAGTTTTTTGTAAAAAAAAAGGGGGTTTTCGCATGTCACGCCGTATGTCAGAAACTATTTATGCTCTTTGCATAAAAATTCACACACAAGAAGACGGGCGTATCATGCGCTCATGGCGCAGCTGTTTATTTTTCTTTTTGCGGAGGAATCTTCAAAAATTATAATGAAATAGATCCAAATATACCTGTCAACATGGTCAATTATGAGTAAAAAAATAAACCTCAAAACTTAAGTCAATATGTCAGTAAAGTTGTGCAAAATATGAAGCAATTGACCTTAAATATATTAAGAAGTGATTGATGCAATGGTCCATGTCATTACAAGAACTAAATCACCACTCTCTCTTTATAATAAAAACCCAAATTTCAATAATTTTTTTTAAATTTCAGATTACATTAATACTTTCCATATAGAAAACAGCTCAACATTTGGAAACAATGCGTTAAAAGATGTTTTGTAAAATTGTAAATTTCCGCTATATATAGTTTGAGAGGCATAAAATTGTGTTTTGACTTTCTTTGTTATTTTGTTTTATTTTGAAGCATGTATTTGAAAGTCATGAAAAAAAACAAAAATAATGTAATAACTTTTGATAAAGTACTTAACGATTGTAACCGATTACATTCAGCAATGTTCAGAAATCATAGACTAGTATTAAATAGATTATTAATTAATTACCCAAAATTCAATCAAGTAATTTATTATAATTATCATGATTATCTATTATTTGCATGACATTCCAAACACCAACTGAAGTTTTTATGTGTATAGTTAAGTGTGAAATTTTTTTTTTTATAAGATATAAAATTTCACAGACATACATGTATGTGTATTCTCTTTTCAGGTTGGAAAACAGTTTGAATTATTAAACTGTGATAAACATAAAGGTCTCGCAAAGAAATTTAAAAGAGACATATCACAGTGTAGACCAGACATCACACATCAGGTATGTACTCTCATATTATATTCTTTTAAGTCTACTCAAAAGTGACTTCCCTATAGAAGAACAAAAATTGCTTTGCTTTGAAGATATGAAAACATGCATAAATCTTGTGTAAAAGGATACATCTCAAGAGTAAGAGTTCTAAATTAGGAATATTTATTTTTTAAACTGACTACTGATATAGCTAACAAACAAACAAACAAACAAGTCAGGAGCCTGTAATTCAGTGGTGGTTGTTGGTTCTGGTATGTCTTATTTGTTTTTTGGTAAATTGAATTGCTATGAATTAGGTCGTTAGTTTTTCCAGTTGAATTGTTTCATATTCTTCCTGTTGGGACCTTTTATAGCTGACAATATGCCATTATGATAATGGAATGGGTATTTCTCATTTTTGAAGGCAATACAGTGACCTGAATTGTTTACATCCATGTCATTTGAACTCTGGTGGATACCGTATAGCGGGTTATTTTCGCGGGGTGTTTATTTTCGCTTATTTTGGCGGATAAATGAAAATCGCGAAAATAAATTCCGCGAAAATTTATGCATACGTTCGGAACATTCTAATAGCTATGTGTCTATTTTTTCCAGTCGACAGGTCAATAACGGTATGTGTTTGTTTGAACAACATTAATGCCAAAGGGCATGAGTGCTATTTAAACAATGTATATGTATACAGTTTGGTATACCCTTTTTAATTAGTGTCAAATAATATTAGAGAGTAAAATACTCTCAGAATGTTAGGTAGTTTACCCTTCTTAATTAGTGTCAAATTATATAAGAGTTGTAAGTCACTCATGATAATTTTATTACCTAATTAGTACATCAAAGGTCCAGTCAATTTCGTAACTAATCAACCCCAAAACATTTACACTAAAACATTTACACTGTGACAAATATCTATGTCACCGGTATTTTATTGAATAACTGTATCTGAATATATTCAATAAATAAGATGTCATTCAGCAAGGATAAGTTTAACTGTTTTCTGCTTGCCACTTTTTACAACTTTTTTATAGCAACCAATTCAGTATCCATCAAAATAATTTAATTGGAAATTAAGAATCCGCCAAAATAAAAACTGCCAAAATTTTTCATATACTTTGTTGCCCCTAAATTGCGAAATTTTACACCCGCGAAAACCCGCTATACGGTAGTTGTCTTATTGACAGTCACACCACATCTCCTTATTTTCATTTTAAAATGATTTTAGCAGATATAGAAATTTAATCAGGACTGAAGCAAGTTTTGCCTTATTTATCACAAAACACGTTCATGTCATTTGTCATTTGCAGAATGGCTTTTCAGAAATGAATTTGAAAAAGTTTCAAACATGCCTTAAGGATGTACTTAGGTCAGGTTTAGGAATTTGTGTCAGATGGTCAGACTCCTTGGTTTTTTTCCTATGATACAGGGTAAAATATTTTGCCCCATAACACCCATTTTTCTTTTCATATAAGACTTCAATAGCTCATAAAAGGTCATTTACCAAAATTTAAGCAGATTCTAGATTTCTTTTCTTTCGATTTGAGACCCAAATAATACCAATGCAAATGTAAGGTAAAAGTCCGAGTCAGCCTTTTCCCGCAATTTAAAAAAATTTAAATATCTTGAAAAGGAGCTTCATAACCTATCAATATTTTTAGCTTATTTTGTTCCTTAACTAATGCTCTTCTGACTTGCAGTATCAATTTTAAATTCTAGATTTTTTTAATTTCACCTAAGTACATCCTTAATTGATTTAAATTTCTAAAAAGATACTAAGTCTGTCAGAGGAAGAACTCCCGCTTTGGAGCTTTGATAAATTGACACTTATGATATTAGTCCAAATAATTATGATGCCTTGAAAGGTCACTTTTTTTGCTTTGACACCTTCCTGACAAATATTATCTCAACAGATGTCATGATTATTTGGACAAACATGAAATATGCATTTTGTGTATAACAGATGTTACTGCCAGAAATCACCTTTAAATTGTAGCCAACAAAAGACAAAAATCAATAACAAATAAAGAGTTTATCTGTGTTATGAGATTGTAATTATAATAATTACAATCTCATAACACAGATAAATTCTTAATATGGTAGATGTATATAGTACATACATCTGTAAAATAACGATAATGTGAAAAGTTACCTTGTATGTTATTTTTCACAAAAAAAAGTTTAAATGTTCTACTATCTATTGAAATGTATAAGAATAGAAAAACACTGTACCATTAAATTTTCAACTTTTCTCTTCAGTGTTTATTGATGTTGATGGACAGTCCTTTAAACAGAGCAGGACTATTACAAGTCTACATACACACAGAGAAAAATGTATTGATAGAGATCAACCCACAGACTAGAATTCCTAGAACATTTGACAGATTCTGTGGGCTTATGGGTAAGATGGTGTTTTGTTAAACAATATGAAATGAAAACAACATGAACAAAAATAAAGAAGATACCAAGGGAGAAAGCTCACTTCTTATTATATATATACATACAACATAAACTAGAACTGTGAGTGAACTCACAAAAAGAAACTCACCACCCTGCAATTTTTATTATCTCCCCTTGGTTGGACCACAATTTTTTCTTTATGCACATCCTCAGGTAGTGTTTTACTTTTGTACAATTGTGTTCAGTTTCATCAAAATCTGTTCATCAATTTAGAAGGAGTTGTGGTTTTTGTAGTTAGTTGGATTATCTCCCCTTTGAGTAGGACATGGCCTATTATTCTTTTGCGCATCCTGATGTTGTTTTCTATAGCTGTATCTAGTTTCACAATTATCTTTCTGGCCATTTAAGATGAGTTGTTCTTACAAGACACATGGACAGAGGTAACAATGGATGGACAGGGTGATTCCTATAGAACAACCAAAAAACTGTTTGCAGGAGTATACAAATTTCAAGAATGGGGAATTGCATACCCTGAATTGCTGCAATAATGAGTGATCAAGGAAAAAACAGAAAGTTATTAGATTGTAAAAAGATTATTCAATTTTTCTTGTTTTGGAAAGGGTTTGGATAGGATTTGGCTTTTGTCTAATCCCTCTGTTTAAATATACAATACTGAATTTATTATTTAAATAATAAAATAGTTTGAATTGTAAAAAGGGGCAATCAAAATTAAGCATTAAGGACAGATAACCCCATTGGAAAAAATAAGACAAAAAAACAATTTGAAAAACACAACATGGAGAAATAGATTAACCCCTGCAAACTCCAAAATTTAAGTTTTGTCATCTGATTAGTTGTACAATATTTTTTTTGTTCTTAGCCTACCTCAAATTAGAGATGAAAATTGTTTTTATCATGTTTATCCAACATATTTATTGTAAAGTAAACTGTGAATTTACATATTTCAGTTCAGTTACTTCACAAACTTAGCATACATGCAGCAGATGGCCCACAGAAACTTTTAAAGGTAAGAAAAAACTTCAAAGTCAAAATTTTTAATAGTTGTTGGTGAACTTTTTATACGACCGCAAACAAATTTTGCGGTCCTATATTGGTATGACGTTGGCGTCGTCCGAAGACACATTGGTTTTCGCACTCTAACTTTAGTTTAAGTGAATGGATCTCTATGAAATTTTACAATAAAGGTTCAATACCACAAAAGGAAGGTTGGGATTGATTTTGGGGGTTATGGTACCAACAGTTAAGGAATTAGGGGCCAAAAATAAGCATTTTTGTAACTTCCAGACATAACTTGTGTGTTAGTGTATGGATCTCTCTGACATTGTACCACAAGGTTCCATATCACAAAGGGAATGCTGGGATTGATTTTGGGGGTAATTGTCTCAAAATTTTAGGAAGTAGGGGCCAAAAAAGGGGCAAAGAACAAGCATTTTTCTAGTTTCATGACAATAACTTGTGTGTAAGTGTATGGATCTTTCTGAAATTGTACTACAAGGTTCAATATCACAAAGGAAAAGCTGGAATTGAGTTTGGGGGTAATTGCCCTAAATGTTTAGGAATAAGGGGCCAAAAATAAGCAGTTTTCTAGTTTCCAGACAATAACTTGTGTTCAAGTGTATGGATCTCTCTGAAATTGTACTGCAAGGTACCATACCACAAAGGGAAGGCTGGGATTGATTTTGGGGGTAATTGCCTCAAAATTGTAGGAATTAGGGGCAAAAAAGGGGCAAAAAACAAGCATTTTTCTAGTTTCATGACAATACCTTGTGTGTAAGTGTATGGATCTTTCTGAGTTGTACTACAAGGTTCCATATCACAAAGGGAAAGCTGGGTTTGAGTTTGGAGGTAATTGCCCTAAACGTTTAGGAATTTGGGGCCAAAAAGGGGCTTAAAAACAAGCATTTTTCTAGTTTCATGACAATAACTTGTGTGTAAGTGTATGGATCTTTCTGAAATTGTACTACAAGGTTCAATATCACAAAGGAAAAGCTGGAATTGAGTTTGGGGGTAATTGCCCTAAATGTTTAGGAATAAGGGGCCAAAAATAAGCAGTTTTCTAGTTTCCAGACAATAACTTGTGTTCAAGTGTATGGATCTCTCTGAAATTGTACTGCAAGGTACCATACCACAAAGGGAAGGCTGGGATTGATTTTGGGGGTAATTGCCTCAAAATTGTAGGAATTAGGGGCAAAAAAGGGGCAAAAAACAAGCATTTTTCTAGTTTCATGACAATACCTTGTGTGTAAGTGTATGGATCTTTCTGAGTTGTACTACAAGGTTCCATATCACAAAGGGAAAGCTGGGTTTGAGTTTGGAGGTAATTGCCCTAAACGTTTAGGAATTTGGGGCCAAAAAGGGGCTTAAAAACAAGCATTTTTCTAGTTTCCAGACAATTACTTGTGTTCAAGTGTATGGATCTCTCTGAAATTGTACTGCAAAGTACCATACCTCAAAGGGAAGGCTGGGATTGATTTTGGGGGTAATTGCGTCAAAATTGTAGGAATTAGGGGCCAAAAAGGGGCAAAAAACAAGCATTTTTCTAGTTTCAGGACAATAACTTGTGTGTAAGTGTCTGGATCTTTCTGAAATTGTACTACAAGGTTCCATATCACAAAGGGAAAGCTGGGTTTGAGTTTGGAGGTAATTGCCCTAAACGTTTAGGAATTTGGGGCCAAAAAGGGGCTTAAAAACAAGCATTTTTCTAGTTTCCAGACAATAACTTGTGTTCAAGTGTATTGATCTCTCTGAAATTGTACTGCAAGGTACCATAACACAAAGGGAAGGCTGGGATTGAGTTTGGGGTGATGAATCATAAGGGGGTTCAAAAAATGGGGGGGGGGGGGTCCTTTTTTTCCTTTTTTTTTCTTTAAAACTTTCCATTTTAAATTGGTTATTTCTGATTTATATATAAAAGCAAATAATAATGATATGGTTTGAATAGGTAAATTAAAAATTTTTAAGTTCTGTGTCAGAAACCTATGCTGTGTCAAATATTTAATCACTATCCAAATTCAGTGCTGTATCAAGCTTGAATGTTGTGTCCATACTTGCCCCAACTGTTCAGGGTTCGACCTCTGCGGTCGTATCAAGCTGCGCCTAGCGGAGCATTTTATTTTTAATTAAAAGGATTTAAATCTTAACTTCTATTGCTTGGAAAATTCTTACATTGATATCACAATTCATAATAAATGGAAGGAAACGGTTTTTGTTTTTCATACAATACATAGAGAAGTTATGTGCCATGCATTATGTTTAGCTGTGATAATGAACAGAAAACTATATGTATCATCATGCCTGGGTCATAATTATGTATAGATTTAAGGAATGTCAACCTGGTAAAAAATTACTTATTGAGTACTCGTTGGTTTTTACTGAATAATAATGCAGTATTTCTCGGAAAAATATCTACAAAATGGAAACACAAAATTGTGCTCTGTAAATTTTTATTCCCATTCTGAGAAGTCTTACCTTGACAATGACTTCTTTGATTGGGATCTGCATAAGTTTTTGTGGATTTTTACCATCATCATGGTCTTTATAAGAACCATTACTCTGACAAAACAATATTTTGGTGGTGACAGTTGTTTTTGTTTTTGATAGTTCAACAATTGCAATGTCCTAGAACAACATGAATAAGTTTGCTAAAAATGGTATTAAACACTAACAAACAAATAAATTAACAAATGGAGAATTGGTGTATGTAATAATGAGACAGCAACCCAATGAGGCAAATAACCGAAGGACATCTGGATGTCAATATTCAGTCCTCATCAACAGACAAGTATCTGTACTATCAAGCTCTAAATTGTCCAAAGTTAAACAAATGTTGTGAATAAATTAAAACAGAGGCTATGAAAGAGCTGCCATCAACACGAAATTGTCAAAATAACATAAACCATTTAGATAAGACATATTACCTATTGCTTCCAAATAGTATAATGTAGACAGCATAAACTGCAAATTCCTTGTTTTTTGTAAGGAAAACCCCAACAATCCCTCTTATCAAAAATTAAATAGCAGACCCACAACTTCCTACCATGTAGAATAATCTGTTAGTTTGTTTGAATTCTGTCGTGCCATTTTCAGGGGATTGCAGAAAAACAAAGTGTCAAGAAAAACACAAGAGAACAGAAGTGATCTTTATGTGTGGCTATAACTTGGTTGTTAAGGATGTTTGCTCCTCTTGTTTTTGAATTTTTGTCAGATTTTTGGAATCCTCTGGTTTTATCCATGTATTGCCATTAAAACATTTTGACCACTTACCCCAATATTTCTTTTCATAATTTTATTACATATAGTTTAAAGGCCAAATTTGAAAATCTTATAAAATCCTTGTTATTTTTTCATAGTTTTTGTCGAGCCTGCGACTTTTGCCGCATAAAGCTCGACATAGGGATAGTGATCCGGCGGCGGCGGAGGCGGCGTCTACAGCGGCGGCGGCGTTAGCTAACTTCTTAAAAGCTTTATATTTTAGAAGGTAGAAGATCTGGATGCTTCATACTTTGTATATGGATGCCTCATGTTACGAAGTTTTCGTCAGTCACAATTCCAATGTCCTTGACCTCATTTTCATGGTTCAGTGACTACTTGAAAAAAAAGTTAAGATTTTTTGTAATGTTAAATTCTCTCTTGTTATAAGTAATAGGATAACTATATTTGGTATGTGCGTACCTTGCAAGGTCCTCATGCCCGTCAGACAGTTTTCACTTGACCTCGACTTCATTTCATTGATCAGTGAACAAGGTTAAGTTTTGGTGGTCAAGTCCATATCTCAGATACTATAAGCAATAGGTCTAGTATATTCGGTGTATGGAAGGACTGTAAGGTGTACATGTCCAACTGGCAGGTGTCATCTGACCTTGACCTCATTTTCATGGTTCAGTGGTTATAGTTAAATTTTTGTGTTTTGGTCTGTTTTTCTTATACTGTATGCAATAGGTCTACTATATTTGGTGTATGGAATGATTGTAAGGTGTACATGTCCAACTGGCAGGTGTCATCTGACCTTGACCTCATTTTCATGGTTCAGTGGTCAAAGTTAAGTTTTTGAGTTTTGGTCTTTTTTTCTAATACTATATATGCAATAGTTCAACTATATTTGGTGTATGGAAATATTTTATGATCTATATGTCAGTCACACAGGTTTTATTTTACCTTGACCTCATTTTCAAGGTTCATTGCTCAATGTTAAGTTTTTGTGTTTTGGTCTGTTTTTCTTAAACTATAAGCAATAGGTCAACTATATTTGTTGTATGGAAGATTTGTTAGCTGTACATGCCTGCCTTGCATGGTTTATCTGACCTTGACCTCATTTTCATGGTTCATTGGTCAATGTTTAGTTTACTTGGTTAATGTTAAGTTATAAAGCTTTATATTTAGGACTATCAACATAATATCAATGATTAGTAAAGAAGGCGAGACATTTCAGGGTGTGCACTCTTGTTGAAATAAAAAAGGTGTTAATGTTAAATGTATGAATATTCAATGAGAATTATTTCCCGCCAAATTTTGAATGGCTTATATCTCGAAAACAAGCACACGGACCCTTCATTTTTTCTGCTTTTTTAGTTCCTTTATTTATATACTATCATTTTAGAACAGTCTTTTAAAAAGCTTGTTATTTTGAAACAGAGGAGTGAACATCCTTAGTCAGTAAAATAATCTCTAGTCTGTGTATACATTATAAATCTAGAAAAAGCGCTTGGACACATGAAATTTATATTGTTGTCATTTTTTATAGGTGATTAAGAATCCCATTACAGACCATTTACCAGTTGGTTGTCAGAAAGTTGGTACATCGTTCCAGGCTGATATTACAGACATAAGGGATATAGTACCAGACAACGAACCAATGGTTTTTGTTGTGGGTGCCCTTGCACATGGCAGCGTAAGTTTTAAGTGTTATGATATATTATCTTCCTCTTAAATTTTATGTTGTTACAAATTCGGAATTATACAACAGTTTTAAAGATAATTTTCATTTTGAAATGTTGGCTACCTATCATCAAATTGAAAAATGAGATGAAACTCTGAAGAACAAAATTATCAAAACATTTCTTTTCTTTAGTTATGTTATAATTTTTTATTGACAAGGGTTGCTTAGTTTCTAGGTCTTATTATGTTAAAGGACTTGCTATTGATTGTTCTGCAAATTCTAGGCAGTACCTGGCATTGGTTTTAGCAAAAAATAATTTGCTAGATGTTGATGTATATTGCAAGTATCTTTTAGACCCTGAATGACTCTCTCATTGATGCCATACATCTGACCTTTGACCAAACATGGATAGATTTGTATTGTTTATTTCAATTAGTTACAATAGACATGATTCTTCATACTCATGAAATACTACGAAAAAACATAATTTTATTTTTTATTGAAAGAAAATTCTTTAAATTGCTATTCTTCATCATTGAAAATTGATGGAAGGTCTTGATTTTGATAATAACATTAATTTATTAAATCAATTAACATTCTCGGAATAATTTTCTATGTCTGTAGCTTTGACATATCTTTTTGACTTTTGACCTTACATTGTTAATTGTCTGTTACAGGTGGATGTGGATTACATAGAAAAGACAGTATCAATAAGTAACTATCCTCTATCAGCTGCATTGACTTGTGCAAAGTTGTGTTCTGCTTTTGAAGAGAAATGGGGAGTTATATGAATAAAATTGATTGCCTAATGTTTTGCAGTTTATCACTTTTTTAGAGTTTCTATCCATTTAGCAATCTATCCATTTGTTGTAGTAAAATAGTTAATAGCTATGTGACTACTTACACAGACTCCATTTCCACTCTTAAGGTGGAACATAACACTACAGGGAGATAACTCTTTAAAAATCAGCTGAACGTTTTAATCCTGTTCTATTGTTCAGGAAATATTAAGCTTCTCAATGATCAAAATTAGTGTTTGTCAAACTGCTATATATATATCCAATGAAATTTTTCCGATGAAGTGTGTGGTTCAAGTTTTTTGAAATTCTTATATTTTTGTCACAGAGTACGCGAAAACTTATTTTGACCCGTCGGTCATGGGACCGACAAAGCATGATTATTTGTCAGTCCTACAAAATTTTAGCCAGTCCTACAAAATCTCTCAATTTTATCCTGAAAAAAAATTAATAACATATTTTATCAAAAATAACTTTATTAATATTAGTTTTATTCTTCGCACCCACAGGCAAATTAACAATGAAAGACCAGTTCAGGTCTTCTGATTGTTCTTATTTAAAGTCATCTTCACTATCCATTTCATCATCTGAATCACTTTCTCGGCTGTTACAGTATTTGTTTGCTCCATTGTAGGGTTCAATCGCCGATTGTTTGCCAGGGATGGCTCTATGGACAAATTAAGTAGGCCACGTGTAGATCGCCGCTTTGGTTTGTTTATAATAAATCCGTAAACCAGTACCGGAAATTGGCAGCGGATACATCTGATAACCGATGTAAACACTTATTGGAAACAGTTGCAGTACATCTAATAACCGATGTAAAAAAAGTGCCGAAATATGCACTACAACGGCCGTTTTTACATCGGTCATTGGGACCGGCACTAGCCTTCAAAATACTGGTCCGAACCTCATTTTGACCGACAGGACCGACAGGACCGACGATTTTCGTGAACTCTGTTGTCAAAGGATCAAAGTAAATATTTTCTCAAAATTTTATGAAAATTAAACGAGCCAAATAAATTTTAGTGAAGGTATTTGGTACCACCTTAATCAAAATATTATGATGACCACTTTGACATTATGAAGTTTGATTTGTTTTATTATAAATATTTTGATGTACATTTTATAAAAATAGATTGATTGATTGATTGTGGGCACCCAACCCTACCCTAACCTGGGACAGTGGTGTAACAGCACAACATATGAACAGACTATAAAAATCAGTTGAAAAGGGCTTCAGTTAAAACAGATCGATACAAAGCAGAAAAACAAGTAAAAAATAACACAGTCCAGACGTTGTAGGGTATTTTTACCTCCCCACAAAAAAAGGCACTTAGTACAAATCTGAGAGAATAGCAGTTACTAACGGCTAGTTCAAAGCCAATAACAACTAATAAAAGAAAATCCTGTATCTTAGACCAAAGTATCAATCAGTACACATCCAACATCCAAAGAATTTGGAGTAAAGACGTCATTTACAGTTGGAGAAACACATGATAGTGTGCACTGTCAAAATAAAGTTTAATTAGTTTACATGGATCGTATCTAAATTTCCGTTCTCTGTATACAACATCTTTGTAAAAATTAGGATGTGCCAATCCGTTGGAAATACGTTTTCTACAGAAACAGACAAACTTACCAACCAAATCTTTGTACCTATGGAGGAATTTAGTAAACGTTTTGAAATTTGTGGTAAAGAAATCCCTGACTTTAATAATTTACCAGTAAAACAAAGATTACTTTCATTGAAATCCAAAAAGTCACTACAAACATGGGGCATAGCGAACTAGTTACCGTATAGCGGGTTATTTTCGCGGGTGTAAAATTTCGCGATTTAGGGGCAACAAAGTATACGAAAAATTTTGGGGGGTTTTTATTTTGGTGGATTCTTAAATCCCTATTAAATATTTTTGCGGATACTGAATTTGTTGCAGATAAAAAGTTGTAAAAATTGCAAAACAAGTGTCTATTATTATGGTTAATTGATTTTTTCCTCAATGACGTCTTATTTATTGATTATATTCTGATACAGTTAATCAATAGAATACCGGTAACTTAGATATTTGTCACAGGTATACAAACTTCTTATAAATTTTACGGTTGATTAGTTACCGGACCTTTGATGTACTTACTAATTAGGTTTTAAAATTATCAAGAGTGACTCTTATGTAATTTGACACTTATTAATAAGGCCGGTAGTTACCTGATAGAGTACCTTACACTCTATTTGACACTAATTGAATAGGGTTTACACACCTGGGGCCGGTTGTTCAACTTGTCGTTAAGTCTAACGCTGTCGTTAAAATATGTTAACGCATCGTTAAAATTTAACGCATGGTTAAACCTGTTGTTCATCTCTACGTTAAATTTAACGCAACGTTAAACTGTCGTTAACTTCTATAAAATCTAACGCTGCTATAGACCTTCGTTAAATACTTAACGAAGGGTTATAATTTATAAAATGGCTGCTCTGTTGATGGTACCTAGGCAAAGAAAAGAGAGAATCTTCAGAGGAATGGTTTCTCATCTAAATAATTTGACAGATACTGAAATGAGGACAAGATATAGGTTTGGAAGAGACTCTATAGCCTACATATGTAATATTGTGGGAGATAAATTGAGGAGATCCACAACAAAGGAAACTGCTTTAACAGTGGAACAACAAGTATGCATAGCCTTGAGGTTTTATGCCTCTGGGTCATTCTTACAAGTCATTGGAGATACGATGGGGTACGATAAAGCAACTGTATCTAGAGCAGTAAATGATGTAACTAATGCTTTGCTCGATGTTAAAGACAACTTCATCCAGTGGCCAAAAGACATTTATTCTATAAACAGAATGAAGTGTGGTTTCCACAGACAAATGAACTTTCCAAATGTTTTGGGATGCATTGATTGCACGCACGTCAAGATACAAGGGCCATCAGAGGACGAGGCAGCTTTTGTCAACAGGAAGGGGTACCATAGTGTGAACGTGCAGGCTGTGTGTGATTACGAAGGTACTTATTTAATTTAGTAATCTTGTGTATCTCTGATCTCCTCTTCGCCTGTTTATTTGTTTACCTTTATTATTATCTCCCTTAATCTTTCTCGTCAGTAAACGAACAACTCGGCCCTCGATGTTATACGACCCAAATATTACCAGTGATCGATCGACGATGACCACGATAACTAAATTTAGAACGCTTATTCCTTAAATGGAGTTGTAAAATGACAACCCTCACCCCAAATGTTCATCTGCATATTTTGCATTCAAAGGCGATGCAGATATCGGAATCTGAGGCTAATAAAGATGGGGGGGGGGGACATGGGAAAATATTTCGATCGATTTTTGTCCAGGAGTAAGGGAATAGGGAAGTGTGAATCAGGGACCCCCTGAACACCCCTCAATAAATAAAAATAACGGATTTTTTTTTAATTTGTACGTTCAAAGCTCTTTTGTTAAAACTATACCCTCATCAGCAGAAAAAAATATGTGTAAATACATTTGTACGTTGAAAAGTTTTTGAGTAATATTAACAAATGGGGCCTTAGTGCTTATACAATTTATAAATCATGGTTGGGCTTTGGGGTTGGGGTGGGGGCATTGTATGCTATCTTTTTCAATTAGAACGTGCACCTGTGAGGGGACCCAAAACACTGTTTCATGTGCCACTTGAATCATATGTACTATTTCTAATCTATACAATGTTTATAAATGAAAGCATATTACTGTTGTATTTTTTTTTGTACGTTTAACTTTTATTCCATGATGATTTGATTGAACCTATCAGTAAATTCAATAATTTTATTATTTATGTATGTTCAAAATTGTTTTCATGAAAAAAAGTATGTACGTTTCCTTCGTTATTTGTCACAAGTAACAAAAGACTGACCTTTATTCAAGCTGCAGTTAACTGTAACATTAAATTAGTACTCCTCATAAAATTAAAGTAGTTTAATATATTTTTAGGGAAGTTTACCAATATATCTGCTAACTGGCCAGGGTCAACCCATGATTCCCACATCTTCAACACCTCAAACCTGTGTCATTACCTGGAGACAAACAACAGAAGACTTGCAGACGGTTTGATCCTCGGAGATAGCGGGTATGCATGTCGCCCTTTTCTCATGACACCCTATCCAAATCCCAGAGAAAGACACCAGCAAAGATTTAATAGAGCACACTCCAGCACAAGATCCATTATTGAAAGGGCTTTTGGAATCTTAAAGAGAAGATTTCATGTTTTGCACTCCGAGGTAAGAATAATTATAGAGTACTTAAAATATGTTAAAATAAACATATGTGGTACGATTGCTAATGAGAATACTCAAAACCAGAGACCAAATTACATAGAAGTTAACATCTATAGGTAACCGTACGGCCTTCAACAATGAGATAATCCACGCCACATAGTACGCTGTAAAAGACCCAAAAATGACAAATGTTAAACAATTCAAACGAGATAAGTAACTTCCAGATTTATGTACAAATAATATATATACGAATCATCTTTACAAACACCCCTTATGATGCAGAGCTATAACATTTAAATAACCTCAGCAGTTTCGTACAACAAATGCAAAAAAAACTTCAATCGAGAAGAAAGAAAATATATAGAGAACAGTGGCGGATCCAGAACTATTCATAAGGGGGGGCCCGCTGACTGACCTAAAGGGGGGGGGCGCTCCAGTCATGCTTCAGTGATTCCCTATATAATCAACCAAATTTTTCCCACAAAAGGGGGGGGCCAGGGCCCCCCTGGATCCGCCTATGGAGAAAAAAGGGACACAAAAAAGAAACTAATTATGAAAAGGACAAGTAGACACTAAGGGAGCTACCATTTAATTTTTTTTTTTGTGGGGGGGAGGCTAGGATGAAAAAAATTGTCCTGCCTTTTTCTTTTAGTTGTGATCTCTGTCCTGCCTTTTTATTTTTCACACTTATTTTTACATAAATTGTCATTCTGCCTTTTTTTCCCTCAAAACTCCTGTCCTGCCTTTTTTTAAAATTTCATATAAGCCCCCCTCCCCCCCAAAAAATCAAATGGTAGCTCCCTAAAACTAGAGACAATTGTTGCAGAAAGACGCACAGTTCATATGAATTAAAGATTGTCAATAGTGAACCTGCTATTAAAGTAACCATTGTTTTTTTTAGAATGCAATGAAAAAAAGTCATTAACATGGTATTTTTTTGTAAAGGGGATATCTGCATGGGTAATTTTCCAGGAGACAATTGTAGAAGAGAATACTCTTCCGAAACAGTATTTTTTTCAAAGTGAAAGATATCCGAATTAAAAATTAACTCTTCATGCCCATAATTATACCCCACGCAACGAGTTGCGGAGGGTATAATGTTTTTTGACCCATCTGTCCGTCCGTCTGTCCTGTTTCTTGTCATCGCAACTCCTCTCAAACCACACAACCGAATTTCATGAAACCTTTTCAGATAATAAGGACATCATCATACCCAACTATATCAGTCCTATTCAGGACCGATAACTCTGTCGATAAATATTGTCGGGTATACAATGTTGTTGAAATCAGAGCAATTGTATTATATGTCTCTGTTGAAATGTATACAATAACAAATTTTTTTACACAAGTTTAACTTTATATCGATTTATTGAATGCCTGGATTTTGCTTAAAATATTGAATTAAAAAAATAAATAATAAAATCATATTCAATGAAATCTCGTTTAATTTTTTACGAAATAATACAAAATCCATTTAAATCAAAATATTTCTTTAAAATAATTATAGAAACATAAATATTAGTTTGATTATCTTTTAAAGCAAAAATTATTTTTTTAAAGATTTTTTTTTATAATATTCATATTTTCTTTAAGTTTATTATGATACATACTTCTTCTGGTTTGACACGGGGAAGAGAAGATATTTATTATGAAAACTTTTGTATATCACAAAATTTAAACTCTGGTAATACATGTATACACAGGATGTTTAATGTCACCTGGTTGCTTTTGGTTTGCACGTCTACCTGACAATATATTGTAATGTAACATTACATCCAGAGTCAGAGTTCACCTGTTCGTCAAGTGATGGGATTTTGAAGGTATGGAATATTTATCTATAATAATTGTTGGGATTTTTTTCTCTCTTGGGACGTAAATATTTTTTTGTTCTAAAAGGAATGTATAAATATATTTCTAAAGAAAGATAAATTATACAGAAAACAGGAAAAAAACCTTTTAAAAAAAGAAGAGAAAAAATTTTATTATAAATTTTATTGTTAACTATTTTCTGGTAACAGTATATCCTGGATATCTGTCAAAATAAAATGTTCCCGTGTCACACTTAAAATAATATTTTTTTAATCAATAAATTTTGAAATCAATCATATCGAAATATCACCAAAGAAAATAACAGAAACATCAGAGATTCTACATGAAAATTAAATTAAATCAAGGAAAGTCTTACTATACAAATCCTCGATTTGATTCAACATTTCCATATACATCATCCGCCATTTTGAAAAATCCCGAAATATTCACTTTTTTAAATCGATTTTTGACCGAAATTGCCCAGAAATTAAACTGTTTTAAATAGTATTTTTCGCCAGATATATGTTTGAATATACTTAATCGAGTTGCAAAGTTTTATTTTTATTAACGGAATTTCTTTATTTGTTATACAAGTAGACATGGGTGTCGGTACATTTAGCATTGAGTCAACGGAGAAATAACGAGAAAAAGTACATGTTTTTACGATTCTCCAGTGACAGAATTTAATCAAAAATTAAACTGTTAGGACCAACATTGTTTGATAGAAATATGTTTGAATATCAAGGATTGATTTGCAAAAGTTAGAAAACGGGTCAGGTTCATGAGAAAACTCAACTTTATTGAAGCACCTATGCATTTTATATGGGGCAATATAATACAAAATGGCGGCTAGTATACGTCACAAAAGTCACGTGATGTCTGACTTAGTTGGATATGACTCCGTAGATGTGTATATCGACAGGAAATTACGATTCAGTTTTTTTCCAGGAGTTACGCCACTTTGAACTTATTGTCCAATATACTACTGCAACCTTTTGTCATCGCAACTCCTCTCAAACCTCACAACAGAATTTCATGAAACCTTTTCAGATAATAAGGACATACTACATAGATGTGCATATCGACAGGAAATTACGATTCAATTTTTTTCCAGGAGTTACGCCCCTTTGAACTTATTTGCCCAATATACTACTGCAACCTTTTGTCATCGCAACTCCTCTCAAACCACACAACAGAATTTCATGAAACTGTGTAGATAATAAGGACATACTATGTAGATGTGCATATTGACAGGAAATTATGATTCAATTTTTTTTTCTGATACAATTTTTTTTTCTTACACTTATTTTATTTCTCCAATGACAATGTGGGGACGTGGGGTATGTGAGCGCGCTCACTAAGGTTCTTTCATTATGTTTTTAAATTTCAGGTCAGAATGAAACCAGAAAAAGTCTGTCGAGTCTTTGGTGCTTGTGCTGTTCTACATAACATAGCTTTAACAAGGAATGAACCTTTGGATGATGTTTTTGGTGTACATGTTCAGCAAGACCAGCCAGTGCAAGTTCCGCATTTTGAAGGAGAACAGGATGGTAGACACATAAGAGAGCATATCGCAAGAGTTTTCTTCAACTGAAATACATGTTTTGAACACAAAAGAGTCTTTATTTTTCATCCAATATAAAATTGTGATAAATATAAATACAAGTTATGTTTTCTCAAAACACATGCATTTGACATGTTGAATTGAAAGCAAATTATGAGTTCATATTACATTTACGGTAATGTGAGCTGTTGGCACTACTAGGTGTCCGTCGTCAACATCTTTTTTACACATCATCTCCTTGTTAATTCTACTCTGAATGATATCTTACCCTAAGGATTGATTAAGGTATAGATTTAAGGTCATCCTTTGGACTTTGTTCGTCCAATCAGTAAAACCCTTGCCGCAAAGTGGGTCTTCCATAGACTGTTGGATGTGTAAATACGCGGGCACATCCGGTTGGAAAGGGGATGTAAAATCTGATTGCATTGTGTGGAAATAGTGTAACGCTATGCATATTATAAGAGCCCTTACAAAAACGTGTGAGTTGTCTGATCATACCTATTGTACTCTTTGTTAATTTGTTCTCATCATGAACATGCATGAAATATTTGCCACTGGATGTAAAGCAAACGATCAAAATGAATGGCCCTTATAAAAATAGAGTGATCAAATCCAAGGTTAGAACACAGTGCCAAACTATAAACATTTCCAATACAATTGAGAATTGAAATGGGGAATATGTCAAAGAGACAACAACCCGACCAAAGAGCAGACAACAGCCGAAGGCCACCAATGGGTCTTCAACGCAGCGAAGAAAATCCTGCACCTGGAAGTGGTACTCAGCTGGCCCCTTAATAAAATTGTGTACTAGTTCAGTGAAAATGGACGTCACACTAAACTCCAAAACATATAAATGAACTAGAATTAAAAAAACATACAAGACTAACAAAGGCCAGAGGCTCCTGACTTGGGACAGGTGCAAAAATGCATAGTCAGAATTAAAAAAAACCAACATAACATACCAATTGTAAAATTCAATTGTCTCGAATACACCAAAAAATAACACAAGGAGACTCAAAAGTGGTATATATATATATATCAAATCAAAATAAAAAAATGCAAAATATTATTGAACGAAGAAATTGAGTCCTAAACATCATTTGTGACTTGGTACCGTACACATGCATTTTTTTTGGCAAATAATTGTTGATTGATAAGAAAAATAAATAATTTAATTCATTAAAAGTTGAGAAAATGTTAGTGGCGTATTCTCTTTGTCTCGTTTCATTTCTTCCAGCAACTCTATCTGAAGATCTAATTTCCTCATCTCTTTAGTCTGCTTTGTCATTTCTCCCTTCAAATACAGTATCTGAAATGAAAATGATACATGTAGATCTATATATTTTTAACATACCGGTATATCTTTATATGTGTCTGTATACCTTACAACTCTTGTGGAATATACAGAAGTTTTGCATGAAATTGAGAGTTCCAGATATAGTGTATGATCTGTTGGACATATGCTTTGTCCAGAGGCTGGAAGCCCATAAATTTGAATTAATTATATTGGAAGATTTTCATAAAGATGAAGATTGCAACATTTGAAAATGAAATGTTGATTAAGTGTAATTTAAGATCGATTCACGGTCTCACATCATTGCCTATAGATACAAACCAATCGATGGGGACCCAAAAGGTCAATTTTTCTTAGTGTTGATAATTGATTTTTACCTTTTCATTTTTCCGAGTTATGACAGTCTTGAACCTACCACCGAGTCATTCATTATAAGACAATGGTATGTCAATCGTTTCTAAATTATTCTGAATTATTTCTAAAATAAATGCAATTGTGAAATTTTACCTGTAGCTCATAAACATCATCAGCAGTTGCTTTCCTCTTCTTTGGATTTACTGCTTTCTGTGTTGTTAGAGTCCCCAGCTCAACTACTGCAGCTGCTGGGCATGGCACCTGGGTATTTACAGCTGGTAGAAGTGGTAGAAGTGGTAATGGCTGATGAATGGAATCAGATCCAGATAGGGACAGTGGCTGGCTTGGAGGGGTATCAAACAGGTCCTGGGAATTTGTTGCACTCTCCTCTGGCAATGCAGCTGAGTTGTCAACTAGAAAATATAATAAGGTGGTTGTTATAAATTATCATGAATGGAAGTCATGTGTGTCTATTGTTAAATTTTCTTACTTAAAGAGGTTTTTTGTTTAGCCATTCTTTCTTTGCTTTCATTGACCTAGCCTGACAAACCATATGCATCAATGACAACCAAAATGAGATGGCTAGAAACAGAATTATATCAGAAGACAAACTCCTTTCCAATTATAAGGCAGTATTGCACCATTTAAAATAATTTTCTAGTAAATCTATTGGTTTTGATGGATTAATGGATTGGTGTTTAACGCCGCTTTCAGCACTCCATGCTATTTCGTGGAAGTCAGTTTATATTGGTGGATGAAGCTGGAGTAAACAACCGACATTAGGTAGGGAAATGTCCAATCCTTATTCAATTATCATTGGATTGGAGTGCACCTGCCCCGTGCTGGATTTAAACTCACAATCTAACTCACTGGCTATATATATATTGCTAATTGTAAAATGAAAATTACTGGCCCATCTACATTTTACACTTAATTGTAGATGTAGAAATTACATCCCCTTGGTATATTTGACAAAATAAAAAGGACCTATTCCAGTGGCACTTCTGTGTATACCTTTCTGTAGGACCCCTCCCCCTTTTTATCAACATAACTTTTTCACTCATATCCCACCAAGTTTAACACCATCTATATATATTTATTTTCAAAATCTTGAACGATCATCAAAAGATGATTAATAAAATTGTTTTAGTCTAGGCCTTTACGAGCGTATTCCACGATCGAATTTAAGGTACGGGTTAGCCAGGGTCCGAGAGACATCGTCCTGTAGGCTACAAATCAAAGGGAAATAACAGCAAGCAGGTTCTTCCATGGATAAACGAAAATTTGATCTGAACATGTATTGTCCCAAACCATCATTACAACATAGTCAAATGACAATATTTAAAATCAACCATCGTTAGAAGAAAGTGTGTCATGAGGTAATAAGGTTCAAAACCTAATATGTTCATTAGCATGCTGAGCGTCTTTCAAGGTTAATATTTAGCACGTAAATATGTGAATGCAGACGACATAAATAATTGACTAAATGAATTAAAATAACTTATTATTCACTGAGCAAAACTGAATATAGCCGAATGCCAATTAAATACTAAGCTTACACATGATTAAGGATCAATAAATCAGTTAAATACCTGTTAATTTTGGATGACATGGTATAAATAATCGGCGATTTTTTTAATCAACAAAAAGTTACATGAAATCGGAGAGAATAACTGAATAACGAATAGCATTTTAAGATTCATTATTTTTATATATTCACAAAAGAGTATGAATTAGTTTCTGATACATACCAAGTACACTTTCAACTCCTTCAAGACCTTTGAAAGAAGCTGAGTCTTTGCAAAGGTCTATTGTCCTTTCTATGGCCAGACTCAATCTTTTTGGCTGTGGACCACCACCAGTAGCCCTCTGCTCTTTGTTCAGTTGGCTAAACACCTTTTTAGCCTCCTTCTTGGTGTTAGCCCACTTGTCTTTACAGTCTTTGGTAGACCTGTTGGCAACACCCAGAGCACTGACCAAGATAGAAATCCTGCTCCAGACAGCAGTCTTTCTAGAATTGGTAACTCCATCCCCAAACTTTTCATTTAACACTTTGTAATTTTTTTGTACTTGATCTTGTATAACATTTACTTCTTCTTGAGTAAAGTTAGGTTTTCTGTCCCTTTGTTTTTTAGCAGAAGAAATGTCAGCCATGTTGAAATAAATATTAACAAACCAATGCATTGTGGGTAACAAAAATAATCTCTAAACTTTAGTTAAATATTTAACGCGTGGTTAAAATATTTAACGTCATCGTTAACTAACGACGGCGTTAAACCAAGTTGAACAACACCATTTTAACTATGGGTTAAGTAACGACATGCTAGAGTATTTAACGACACGTTAAATTTAACGAGTCGTTAAGTTAACGACAAGTTGAACAACCGGGCCCTGACGGTCATTTTATGAAATACATCAATGTACATTGCCCTTTGGCATTTATGTTGTTAAAACTAGCCTATACCATTATTGACCTGCCGACCGGAAAAAAATAGATCGTTTACAAAACGATTTATCTATGAGAAAGTACCTAACGTATGCATAAATTTTCGCGATTTTCATTTATCCGCCAAAATAAGCGAAAATAACCCGCTATACGGTATGATATATAAACACTGTAGTAAGTTGCTAAAGGAACATCACCACCCTTAAAAGGAAAATTAACAATACAGAAAGAAAATTCGTCCCTTTGTCGTAAAATTTTGTATAGAGATTCCCGTGTAAAGCTGAAATATATCTATCTAGGAAAGGACAGTTATTACCGTTTATACTTGATTTATTTAAAGAAAGTTCGTTTGGGCAGTAATTTAGCAAATTCATGATTATTTCACGAAAAATATCAAATAAATGCAATTTAGGCGGGTCTTTACTGTGTTTGTAATAATAGAAGTATATTACTAGTACTGCCTCTGTGGTTTCGTGGTAGCAAACTCACCTTGAGTGAGGGAGGTCGTTGGTTCGAACCCCAGCTGGGTCAAAATTGGCATTGGCTGCTTCTTCGCTAAGCATGTGGCATTTAGGAGTAAGGCATATGTATCCAGGCAAGGTGACTTGTCTTCCCGCGGACTGTTACGTTGGGAATTAGCATGTTGAAAAAATCCGGCTCAGCCATCCATCCATCCATCCATCTATTACTAGAAGTATGCAACCTTCTATATACTACTGCGTTCAGATGAGCCTATTTGAGGATTTACTTTAATTTTACACTTACTCAAAACGAGGTGTTGTGTTCTGTATATCCTCTGTACGTATGTCTGACCATTTGTGACATAGCTTCCTGAAGTTTTTGATCAAGTTTTATGTGAACATGCTCTACTGTGATATGTTTTCAAATTCATGGTTCATCGACTTTCTGTTTCCCGTTTCGTATACACAACATAACATTTAGAAAACTAAAAACC